TAGGTCAGGGTAGGTTAGGTAGGTTAGGTACCCAGACCTAACCTAATCCGACCTAACCTTAGGGCCAGACCTAACCTAATATAACCTAACCTTAGGGCCAGACCTAACCTAATATAACCTAACCTCAGGCCCAGACCTAACCTAATGTAACCTAACCCTTGGCCCAGACCTAACCTAATATAACCTAACCTTGGGGCCAGACCTAACGTATTCTGACCTAACCTTAGGCCCAGACCTAACCTAATATAACCTATCCCTAGGCCCTGACCTAACCTAATCTAAGCTAACCACAGGCCTGATTTACACTATGCGACCTAACCTTAGGTCTAACTGAGAATAATACAGTGGTAAGTATAATAATTATAATTATAATTCCAACGATAATAATAATTGTAATCTGAGGAATTGTATATGTTATATTGATAATAATAAGATTAGTGATAATAATTACAGTTCCAGCGATAATAATAGTCGTAATATGTGTAATAATATTGATAATAATAAGAGTAATAAGGATAATGATTTCATAAAGTAGTAATATGCGGAATAATACTGATAATAATAAGAGTAGAGAGGATAATTGCAGTTACAGTGCTGATAGTAGTCGTAATATGCGTTATTAGATTGATAATAATAGGAATAATAAGGATAATGATGATAAAAGTAGTAATATGTGAAGTAATACTGATAATAATAAGAATAATTAGGATAATGATGATAAAAGTAGTAATATGTGTAATAATATTGATAGTAATAGGAGTTGTAAGGATAATTACAGTTCCAGTGGTGATAGTAGTCGTAATATGCGTAATAATACTGATAATAATAAGAGTAGTGAGGATAATTACAGTTCCAGCGATGATGGTAGTCGTAATATGCGTAATAATATCCATAATAATAAGAAGAGTAAGGATAATGATGATAAAAGTAGTAATATGTGTAATAATATTGTTAGTAATAGGAGTAGTAAGGATAATTACAGTTCCAGCGGTGATAGTAGTCGTAATATTCGTAATAATACTGATAATAATAAAAGTAGTGAGGATAATTACTGTTCCAGCGATGATGGTAGTCGTAATATGCGTAATAATATTGATAATAATAAGAATAATAAGGTAAATAATGAGGGAAGTAGTAATATGCGTAATAATACTGATAATAATGAGAGTAGTGAGGATAATTACTGTTCTAGCGATGATGGTAGTCGTAATATGCGTAATAATATTGATAATAATAAGAATAATAAGGTAAATGATGAGGGAAGTAGTAATATGCGGAATAATACTGATAATAATAAGAGTAGTGAGGATAATTACTGTTCCAGCGATGATGGTAGTCGTAATATGCGTAATAATATTGATAATAATAAGAATAATAAGGTAATTAATGAGGGAAGTAGTAATATGCGTAATAATACTGATAATAATAAGAATAATAAGGGTAATTACAGTTCCAGCGATGATAGTAGTCGTAATATGCGTAATAATATTGATAATGATAAGAATAATAAGTATAATGATGATAAAAGTAGTAATATGCGGAATAATATTGATAATGATAAGAGTAGTAAGGATAATTACAGTCCCAGCGATGATAATAGTCGTAATATGCATAATAATATTGATAATAATAAGAATAATAAGGATAATGATAATAAAAGTATTAATATGGGTAATAATGTAGGTTAATTTGATAATAATAAGAGTAGTAAGGATAATAATTATAGTTTCACGATAATAGTAATAATAACATGGGGAATGATATATGTTAGGTCTCCAGACCTAACCTGATACAACCTAACCTTAGGCAATGACCTAATATGATCCGAACTAATCTTAGGTCCTGACCTAATGTAATATAACCGAACCGTAGGCTGGACCTAACCTATTATGCCCTAACCTTAGGCCCTGACCTAACATAATATAACTTAACCGTAAGCCTGACCTAACCTGTTGATTGTCTGTTATGTTTAAGAATGTAATGGAAAGGATTGTAAATAAGTACATGATTTCTTTTGTTTATTTATTGTAACCATAAATACATACAATTTGCAAATATATTTTGTACAATTTTTAATTTATGTAACTCTTTATTGGCTCAATTGTTTGTCGAAGATCGAGGCAGATTGTGTGCATATTCAATTTTAGAACTGAAAAATAAAAGCATTTATAATAACATATTTATTGTTGTTGCACGATTTAATAATATTTTTACGTGAAAGTTAGAACATTAGTAAACAGAAAATGTTACATATAAAAAGAATAAATTGAATAACTATTTATAATGTACAATTGTTGTGGCTAAATATATGTGTAATATTAAAAAATTGAACTTACGTTGATTAAATGGAACGCAGAGATCCCTCCTCCACTTCAATGCTGTAAAGACTAGCTCGTCAGTCCGATAGCATGGCTTAAACTACTTTTAAGTAGCGCGCAGATTTGGAACTGTAGCTTCGTTAGTTCCCACATTAGCCGATAGGTGGCAGGACATAATACGCCATCTGGCGTTAGAAGATAGGAACTAATTAACCTACAATTTCAAGAGCGTGTAGTTCATCCTGTTCGACGGACAGATGGCGCTACCAGTTCCATAGGTTAGAGTACTCCGTGTTAGGTGTAGATTAGGTTAGGATATAATTAGAATGATTTTTTAAATAAATTTTAGAATAATTTTTTAAATAATTTTGCAAATATATATAATCATTAATGTTTAATGAAATATCATGTTTTTGATTAATAAAAAACCAATAAAACGAAAAATAATCAGTATTTCTTTGAAGCAGGATTTTTGTCCCGCTAGATTAGCCAAACGACACACTGTGCGCCGTAAGGGCGCGTGCGCATTACTTTTAGTGGCGTGTCTTGTTAGGACCGATCAGCGCTGATATGCGCAAATAAATGAAAACTTGTCGTTTGACGTATCCTATTATTTGTGAAATAGAATAAAATAAATTGTACATATAGATGTATGATTGAAAACATGTTTAATTTCTTTAATAATGTAGGAATTTGCATAAGTTAGATAAAATTGTACTTAATAATGCTTACAATACAATTCGGACAATGTGGAAATCAGTTGGGACATACATTATTTTCAAAAATATCATCTGATTTGAAATACACGAATACTGGAGTATCATATAATGCTAATTATCAATATTCTGAAGATACATTTAATAAATGGTTTACTGGTATATCTAAGCACAATAAATGGTTGTCAAGAGCAATTCTTGTAGATACAGAACAAAAAGTAATTAACAAAATTTATAATGATACAAGTACATCGTGGGCGTATCCAAAAGAAAATATAATTTGTCAAACTGGCGGTGGTTGTGCAAATAATTGGGCTTTTGGTTATTTAAAAAATGGACAAGAGTTAAGCGATTTAGTTCTAAACTGCGTCAGGCAAGAAGTAGAAAAGACAGATCATTTTGATGGTTTTCTTTTACTCCTAAGTTCTGCAGGTGGAACAGGATCTGGTATTGGCAGCTTCATGGCAGGAATGATACGTGAAGAATATGAAACAAAACCAATCATTACCACAACAGTATTACCATTTTCCTTTGGAGAAGTGTGTACTCAAAAATATAATACACTATTAACCTTAGCAAAACTCTATGATCAAAATGATATAAACATTTTATTTGAAAATGAACAAATATATAATATATGTACAAATTTATTAAAAGAACCTGCTACAAATTTGCAAGACATTAATGAGATTATTTCAGAAAAGTTATTGGCCATTTTTCAACCATTAAATGATACAAACATGAATTCATTGTTATCTCGCGTAGCATCTCATCCTTCTTACAAATTAGCAACAATCAAGAGTACTCCACATATACCAACAATGTCTGCAAAATATGAATCTATGTGTAACTGGAATTCATATATGCATCATTTGAAACAGATGCTTCGAATACCCAACTTAAATATGCAATTAACTGATGCCGAATTAAAGACACCGACTACCTCGTTTGGGAGTACAGCACATCATGCATATACGTGTTCAGTGTCAAATATCTTGGTAACACGTGGATCTGTAACAGATAAAGATTCTATTAATACAAATGAATTTAGAGAAAAACATTTATACGCAGACTGGAATACAACTGATTGGTTTACCCATTTGCATCAAAATAGAAAAATTTTAAACCACGATAAATTTCTTGCCTTAATAACTAATAATTCCCAAATTTGTGATCCTCTGGATATACTTTTAGAAAAGACCTGGACTTCTTACATTAATGCTGCCTTTTTACATCAATATAAACAACATGGTTTAGAGGAAGACGATTTTTTACAAGCATTTGCAGTACTTGAAAATGTTGTAAAAGAATATAAAGAATTAACTACTCATGTAAAAAGATAATATGATTATAAATAATTCAATTTTTAATAATTTATGGATCATATAACTTTCTATATGATATTAATATTCAATATATGTCGAATCATATTAATAGCAGAAAAACAAATTTAAATATTGCATGCATCGAAAAATAAGCACACACGAAAAATGACGACAGAATAAAATTATCTAATTTCCGATATCATACAAATTTATTTATATGTATAATGACAGTAAGAGAAGAAAAAAGAACATCAGTATTAACCAAAAATAAAATATTTATGAGATAAGATAATTGATCAACAATGACTTTTTATTTGATTGAGAAAAAATGGAACAGAACGGAATAAATAGTTCTCCTAGTGTGCATCCATCCTACAATATAGGAAAGTGCTTTTGCGCCTGTGCAAAGGGGCAGTCGAATCTGCCGAAACATAAAAGAAAAAGTTCTGACCATTTCCAAGAAATAACGAAAATACTTCCAGGAATTGGTGGCCATCTCTTCCCCCCTTCTCTTACGTTCATCTGAGGAGAATCGAAAGAATCGATTTCTTAGAAATATTTTCATATTATACAATATTACTGCGTAAAGTATCATCAAATCATACCTTTCAATTATTTATCTGAAAATGCTTATATTGTCATGTTTTTAAAATTTCTAAATTTTTGGAACTTTGGAACTGTCGAATTTAAGAATTTTGCAATTTCTAAACTTTAGAATTTCAAAATTTTCGAACTTTAGAAATTTAAAAAAATTACAAACAAATGTATCATAAAAATTTACAATTTTGGAAAATGAATCTGAAATTATAAAATTTTGAGAAGCACTGTCTAGCAGGTATACGAGATTTTCAAGGTCAAAGTTTTGCACGTATTATGTAAAGGACAGTGGAGAATACTATATAAACAACAACAGATGCACTATCCGTACACGTTTTCTAACACCGGTCAAGCGTTACAGGTACAGCTACGATTGTTAGGAACTCGTTTGCTGTCCCTTCTTCGCCCCCACTGCATATCCTGACTATCGAGCATTTTGAGTTTTAGTATGCCACGCTATTTATCTCCTAAATCTTACGATAGTATGTATAGCTATTAAAAAAATAATTATTCCATACATCATCTAATAGTACATGTTCCAAAATATATGAATTTGTTTAAAATTTATCAAATCATTTTTCCTTTACAATGGAAATAAGAACACAATATTTCTGAGTTTTAAGTCAGCTATTTTTCATATTACGGGGTTGAAGTAGTGGCGCCATCTGAAGAGTACAGGGACAACGATTATTTTTTAAACATATTAATCATCTTTCTTCAAACTATTATCAAATATTATAATTGTAATTGTGCTATTATTTATTACTACAATATAACAATATTCAATTAACTATTTGCATTCTTGCAATGGAACTATACAATTGCAAATACATACATAATTTTAACAGATCTTTCGAAAAATATGTGTTCGTCCCTGCAACCTGCGCACCGCACATACACGTGCAATACAATACGCAGTCGTGTGCGTATGCGACTCGAATACCAAGAGGCGTGGTTTGAATAGGCCAGTGTTTCCCAATCTTTTTTGAATCACGATCTCTATTATGATATTTAAACTACACTTCCCGCGTTATTTTGAGAGATCTCAAAATTTTTTAATTTCTAAAACTCTATGTTTAAGCATTTGAAAATTTTCTAACTAAAAATGAATGACTGCTATGATCTCATACTTCTATCATAACCGCTAAAAAACAATCGCAGCGACTCTACAGCAAATGTTCCTCGATCCACTGCGTGGGAGCCACTGGTATAGACGAACCTGTTCGGTACTTTGTCCCCTCTGACAGGAGAGAACAATATCCTTACACTCACACAGAAAACAGGCGCACTCTGGTGTCGAAGCTGCGGACAAAATGGTACGCGCCATTTTGTTTAGTGCTCGCTGGACGCGTCGTGCGTCGGGGTGGTGCAGGGTTGTTTTCGTGACAGTCAACAAGAATATATTCGTGATTATTTAAACTTGCCTGCGATTTAATGTATACAACAGTGCTGGAATTAATTCAGTGCAATACATTTATTATTTTTCTGCATGATTATTGTGACGCGTGACGACGCAAGGATCAGTTTTTTGAGAGTCGAGGACTTTCTGATGTTCGCAGTGTCAGACGGGATAGTTGAAAAAACTTTGCAAATGCATTGCGCCAGTTACAATTTCATGGATATTTCGTAGGGAATCGCCGTTATTGCCGTTTACGTCGGCAGAATTTTTTTCCACAGGTAAGAAAAGAGGGGTTGCCAGAGCTTAATCGATAAAGCGTCTCTCCCATACTCTTTCCTCTTCCTCGTTTCCAAACATCACAGTTTCGCGTTGTTTTTTCTTCTTTAAATGTACGAGATACATTTTATGATTTTAACAGAAGTTTTTTTATGCTAAATGTTGTGCTCCCTAACCGCTGTAGTGTCTCGCTTGTGCAAGCCGTTCGAGGAAAGTGAAAGCTCGTTCCTGATCGTTCTGCATTGGGTACGGATCTCATTGCGTCCGTCGCAGCGGCACGCGTTTCGTACAGTAGCACGGTAGGCTTCCCTGTGGGAAATGGCGATGTAGGAAAGGGGAACCCCCACCACTCGTTAAATTTTGGTTGATAATTTTGCAAATTTACGAACTTGATTTAGGAGTTTGTAAATTTAAAGACTTGACAATTTTTCAATTTGACAATTTGACAATTTATGAAATTTAAAACTTGGAAATCTGATTAATAAGAAACGTAAAAATTAAAATATTGCAAGTTCACATATTTAATTCCCTAAAATCAAAGTGGTAGGGGACGTCTCCCCCTACATTGCTCTTTATCCAAAAGAAGCCTACATTGCACCAGAATGCAATTCTGTGTTGTAGGAACTGAAGCATTATTGAACCCAAACAACCGGCACTTTAAAGTTTATTCTTGGGTCAGTCGTGACCCAAACTTACGGAATACATACAAATGATAATTTAACTGAAGTCAAGTATAAATGTAGTTTTCAAACAAAAGGATTTAATATATTATTTTTCTGATATATGACTGTTTTTCGAATGGCTAATATTAATCGATACACCATGACATGTGTTTTAAGTTTGATTCACGTTTAACCTAACCATCATTTGAAGGTTATTAGATGCGTTTTAACAAAAGTTCCCAAATTTTTATTTGCCAATATATGCGTCCAAACATGGTCATTTTTCGTGCACTACTCGCTTTTAATTTATTCCTAAAAATTTCAAAATCCCGCTTTCGAAAACGATAACTTTTTTACACTTCATAAATGTTAGATTTTCGTATGAATGAAAAGAGTATACTCCTGGGAATGATTAATCATAACAGTGAACTAAATTAATTCATTGAATATGAAATACACAAAAAGATCGTTGTTACGGATAACATTAATATTGCATAAGAGGTATTGCACATTCCTCACAGCATTTCCTAATAGGTTTAATATTCCTAAAATCAGTAAAATGTTACTACAAAGTACTGATACATGATACAAAAAGGAATTGATAACAGTTTCTTACGAAAGAGACTTTCACGTTTAATGTTTATTATATGTTTATGGGTTATAAACTTTAAAGTGAAAGTATTATACATATTTGATATTATCATGAAAAACATATGTTTGCTGACAAATTACTTATCGGCTAATAATTATGTAAGAGTTTTTATATGGTATTTCTTGTTACTACTTTACAGGAATGTCCTTGAACAGGTAGATTATATTGGATTTCGTGTGACGTATTCAAGTAGAAAACGATGCACAAATGTAGCAAGGATTGATTCCTTTTCAAATATTAAGCATAAAACAACAAATATTTAGAAGTAAGTTATAATAGCAAATATCTTTACCGATCATCGTGATTCTATAGACAGCGTTGCGATCACTGAATTTATCGGGTGATTTCAATGCTAGGATGTGCAGCAAAACTGTGTACATTAATCTAACGATAGTACAGTAACTACAGTAGGACCCCGGAAAAATGGCCGTTTAGGAATTTTTCATTCGTTTTTTTGTGTTGCTCGTAATGCAAGTACCTTCGTTGCATCTCTTTAGAAGGGGTCGTTTGACTGAAGCGAGGGTGAATTCGTAAATAAGTAAACGCGCGAAATTTGAAAATCGTAACAGTGAAAAGACTCGTTTCCCCCTAAATTTGACGTGTATTAAAATTTTAATTACCATCAAGGTTCTACAACGCGAATTTAAAGCGGTAAAATTGAATAACTGAAGGCGCACAGTATATTCTGTTAGCTTTATTAAATTTGTCGCTTAGCGTTAGTCATTCTTGTCTCTAATAACATAATCTATTTTAAAGTACATATTATTCGGTAAAATATTTACACGATGATGAGGAAATTATGATGGTCAGGCGACAAATCGGGAGAGCCAAACACACCCTGTCATTACGATTCGTTTTTCCCCAACTTATAAGAGCGACTGTCCAAGAACGAAGGGTGCAACGTGCTCACTCTTTTGGAACATCGATCTGTTAAGTCGGCTAAGTTTTAAACCCCTTCGCTGTATCGAACGAAAATTCCCGATTGCAACTTCGTACGGTTAACCATTCCAAAGTAAATAAATTTTCTAAATTAAAATTTCTAGAATAGAATAAATTTTCTAAATTATTAATTTAGTGATTATGTTATAATACATATAATACTGCATTGTGTGAAAGTATATAACTGAAACAATGACGACTATCAAAGTCATTAACGCTTGCGTAGGAAGTTACCACTAGATTTAGAAGGTTTCAGGGGTTATTACTAGGAAGTTGGAGCTTACCTAGACATCGACACAGGTGCTTGGGATTAATCCAAGACACGCCTACGAATGACTCACTATACAAAACTCCGTATTCTTTTTTTCTTTGGTAGCGCGAAAGGGTGCCGACGGTTGAACTAGTACTCGTTAGACATTTTTTAAACCGGTCAAATTTGTCGGTTATTTTATATCTTTGTTACGTTGATTCATAAAATAAATGTATAATTTCATATTATACTTTGCCTATCAATTTCTGTTATTTGGCTATGAAGTTTATTTGTATTAATTTATAAAATATATTTTAATTATAAGTTCTTCTAATTTGTATATGTCCAGTTTGTTTTCTATTATAAGATTACGTGAACATAATGCAAGTCAGTGATTCAAGGAATTTGCACGAAAAATAAAATCACGGTTAAGTTTGGTATGTGACCGCCACATACCACGCCTCTTACTAGATCGGCATTCCATTGAACCCAACCTCCCCATGTTATGCCAAAGGTGATTTCTTATTCGTTCTTCTTTTTCGTCCGGTCTTCGATCTTGATACTACTACTTGGTACATGCTTACATATAACAGTGAGACAAGCAACCGCAGATTTTGCTATAAACTTAAATAGCGTCGAAGCAATTTCGATATATCATTGAATTCTGTTTCAGAACTAGAATACCAAATGATAAACGAGAATGCGTACTCCTGCTGAGACCGAAACACTATCTCAACCTGAGATGTACAAATTTGATTCTCAGGAAATGGAAGCACCGTCGGGTGTCAATCAAGTGGTTTTGTCACCCTCCCGTCCAGAAACGCACATATTTACTAATAGGTAAAGAAAAAATATATATTTAATAGTAATAGTGTGTTCTTGCAAATACACCTGTTTAAAATAACGCGCTATTTTTCGTACAGTTGCGCGCGTATCGATGCGCATGCGCACTTGTAATTACCTATTGTAGGTATAATACGAAACAGCTGGTGCGAGAATTTATGGAACCCTGAATTATTTCGAAAATATTGGATGCTGTGTTAGATCATCGATACGCAACTGTATACAGTTCATTATCGTTAGGTTATGTCAGAAAACTAGCTATTAAAAATATAGAAAGATTCTTTCGTGCGATACTCGAAAATTTTTTAATTCCCAATCTAAAAAATTGCAATTTCGAAAATTTGTACATTGACAATTTCTAGAAATGTCTCATTTACAGTAATGACGGTATTGTCACATTATTAAAAATCGACGTACTTATGAAATAGCATCAGCATTTTTTATCGATCACAATACGATTTCAATTACATAAATTTCAACTGTAAGAATAATTGAACACATCACAATCCAGATACAATTTAATTCGATCAAACTCTAATGTAATTATGAAAAGAACAGACACACTTGATCATCACGTGTTATATTGAAGTAACGAACGGTAAATGTAGCCCTCTACCGGATAACTTGTTAGTTTTTGATATGTATCCTGCTCGCGAACACTGTGTGTAGTTTTGTCGTGCTGGTTTTTTGTTCTCCCGGAAAATAATTTGCTCGGTGGCATGATTTTGTAATACTTTCTCTCGGTACATGAGACAAGGGTGCTACATCCATATGTTACGCGTGGTACGATGGTCTTTACACGGTTTTTCCTCCGGAAGACGCAGAACGACGATGCGGCCGTTCCAAACAACGTTGGTACAAGGAGGTGAGCACGAAGGCCAAATCGTCGGAATGCGCTTCCGATAACGGCACGATGACGGCTTCGATCTTGTTCTCGAACGAACACATTTGTATAAACCTGTATTTGTAATTTCTCGAATCTCAGGCATTTACAATTGTAGTGTTTATTTAATTCTTCGTAATTTGTATTGGGTTTAATATATCTTTTGCGTTGAGTAAACACAAAAGTTTATTATGCTACTTAAATATCATCAATGAAAGAATTGTATAATAAAAGGATTCGTAATAAAGGACTATATTAGCAAAGGACACAAAGTTCAGTCTAAAATATATCTTCGTATCAATGCTTACAGTTATCGCGTTAGGTTACTTGTAACACTCGATTCATGCTCGAGATTGACAGGTGTATACTAACGATCATGGTAGCTTTCCTTAGGAAAAATGACATCAGAAAAAAATGGCACCTTCACTCGTTGGTTTTTGGTTTGTAATTTTCGAATTGACAAGCTTTCATATTTTGGAATTTAGGAATTTGGAAATTCGAATATTTCAAAATGAGAAATTTGATGATTGAAAAAATCGAGAATTTGGAAATATAAAAATTGCAAGTTCACATACTTGATTCCCTAAATCGAAGACAAAAATGGTGGGGACCTATTTCCCCTACACTGACTCTTAGCCAAAGGAAGCCTATGTTGCGCTCGGATGTACAATGCATACAAAATAACATAGCAAAAACTCAGTGTTATAGTTGATTTATTAATCAACTATAATATCAAAACACACATATTGCCCACGCAATATTATCATTTTATCGTGGTCCATATCTTTTAGAAATTCCGCGAAAATATAAGGAAGACATTACGGGGAATAGCACATTATTCTAAAATACATATTGCGTCTTCCAACAGTATAATTTATTTTATCAGAGCTTGCTGATTACAAGTACAATAATGTGATTGAATCATCGACCAACTTATAATTATTAGATTAGAGTTCAAGAATTCTAGGAAAGGTTCAAAAAACTTAACCTTTTGTTTGATAATTATCAAACTTTTAGTGTTGATACGATAGTTCGATTATTTCAAAGATAACTTAATTGACTTATCGATGTATTCGTTTCTGTTACAAACGCGGAATTATTTGAAAAAAATTTCCGTTTATTTACATAAATTACTTCCTTCAAACCACGTTGCATCGTTGTAGTTGTGCAGCTTTAAACGGATAAAAACCCCTTGAATTCACTTTCACTACAATATATATCAGTTAAATCGATAACCGATAGCCAATTTAAACATTGACTTTAAAGAACATATTTATGCACTTCTGTTTGAAATGCATATTTTTACAGAATAAATGAACACACATTTGCTAAAATAGTAAATGGTAAGAAATTAATTATCAACTGATAGTAGATTTGTCTATAGTTAAGAAAATGGTTTAATCGTAATTAATTGCCACTTTTTAAAAATATCGTTATCGATACAAAGTTCAATTTTTTATTACAATATGAGTCTTATTAGTATCATTTACATGTGATGTATAAAATATAATATAAAAAATTACGTATACCCGATGCAACAAGATAAACTTTCGCTAATACATTGTGCTTTCTATACCATCTTTGACCTAAGCATGAACTAACTACATACAGACTTGAAAGCTTATGTCAAGGTCATGGTGATAGTTTAGAGAAAAGTTCGGCCGAATAATTTTATTGCTAACAGCATTGCAATTATTATTATAATGAGCGAACATAAATTTTTTAAACAATTTATGTCAAATAATTGTAATAATACAATTTCGCCTGTTTTAATATATTCATGGTATTTATCAAGTTTAATCAGTATAAGCAAATTGTAGTTGAGCAACAACTATTCCTACAAATGATGCAATAATTTGAAAAATTTTGCAAAGTTATATAAATTAATTTTTCTGTTTTATTATCTATTTAAAAGATTTTGTAATTTTATAAATTATTAATTTTTAGCATGTTATGCATCCAAGAAGAGTTGGGCCAGTTGGGTGGAATTGCAGGAGGTCCCATAATCACTGACCCACACAATGCTCAATTACCTAATAATAGTCATAGCATTTCGGGAAGCAATAGTAATTCCAGTGAAACTGCGACAAAATGTACTCCAGGTTCTGGAACTTTGGATGCACAGAGGTCAAGTTGGGTCGAGGGTATATTAGGATGTATGCGCCCAGTTTGGACTATGCTTTCAAAAGCAGCTGTGAATGAAAAAATTAAAGGACATCAAAGTATATTATTTTTTTCTATTTATTTAATATAGTTATTACAAATGTTATTAAGAAAATTAACAGAAAATCATTGTAGCTGATGATTGGGAAATACCATTTGAATCAATTAGTGAACTTCAGTGGCTTGGATCTGGTGCGCAAGGTGCAGTATTTAGTGGGAAATTAAACAAAGAAATTGTAGCTGTAAAAAAGGTACGAGAACCACGTGAGACTGATATAAAGCATTTACGAAAACTTAATCATCCAAATATTGTTCAATTTAAGTAAGTCTTTTATTGTTGTACATATACATGTATGTGGAAAGTTCATAACAGAATAAATATAAAATATTATTACGTATTTTCAGAGGTGTTTGTACACAAGCACCATGTTACTGTATTATAATGGAATTTTGTCCATATGGACCATTGTATGATCTTCTTCGAGCTGGGAAACCAGTTCCACCTCCTAGACTTGTATCATGGTCTAAACAAATTGCAGCTGGGATGGCTTATCTCCATTCGCATAAAATTATACATAGAGATCTCAAAAGTCCAAAGTATGATAATCAACATAAATAAGATTATGATAAAAGTGTTTAAGTTTTAATTTTTTAAATATTATCTATTATTTTAGCGTATTGATAGGACAAGGAGAAGTTGTAAAAATTAGTGATTTTGGAACTAGTAGAGAGTGGAATGAAATCAGTACAAGAATGAGCTTTGCTGGTACTGTTGCCTGGATGGCTCCAGAAATAATTAGAAACGAACCTTGTTCCGAAAAAGTAGACATATGGTCATATGGTGTAGTATTGTGGGAGCTCTTAAGTGGTGAAATACCTTACAAAGATGTGGATTCTTCTGCAATTATTTGGGGTGTGGGCAATAATTCTCTTCATTTACCAATTCCCGCAAGTTGTCCAGAAGGGTACAGATTACTTGTAAAACAATGTTGGGCTGCTAAACCACATAACAGACCTTCCTTCAAACATATTGAAATTCATCTTGGCATTGCAGCTGTTGAAGTGTTATGTACAAAACCTGATGATTACTTTAAAACACAGGTAAAGTATAAATTTTTAGTGAGGAAATCATAAAATTAAATTTAAAGCTATTATATTTAATAATTAATACAATTATAGCAATCTTGGAAAAAAGAAATAAGAGATCATATGAAACAAATGCAAACAAATAGCTGCAGTAGTCCAAGATTTGAAGCTGATCTAATACGACGACGCGAGGATGAATTAAGGCATGCTCAAGACATTCGAGAACACTATGAACGTAAACTCGAACGCACTAACAATTTGTACTTAGAATTAAATGCTGTTTTATTGCAGTTAGAACAGCGTGAACGAGACGTAATTAAGTAAGTATCGATTTAATACGCAAGCTAAATTTAATGAATGTAATAGTTAATAATCATAATTATAATGTTTTAGACGAGAGCAACAAAATGGATACAAACAATGTAAAAAACGTCTTGTACATCCCTTTTTAAAGGCCCAAGAAAGACTCCATCGTAGACGTAATCCTACAACACAATTTTCATCTTCTACACCAACAACCCCACCATCTCCAACAGATTGTCCCCAAAGTCCTGTAAAAGCAACCATGTATACACAATTGAATGAATCTAATCAACCAGAAACAGTTTTAGCGCCTAGTAACAGTTTCAAACAACGTAAATATAGACATCGTCGAGTAGGATCTGGATGTGGTGTAAACTCTAGCCCCCGATCAAGTCCCCATCACGAAAGAAAAGTATATATTCAAATGTGAAAAATATACCTTTTCTATTTTGTAAAAATAAGGTATAATATTGAATCTGTTTTTTCAGAGTACAGAAGTATGTGCACGTTTTGTTGATAATCAAACTCAAACAGATATAACGGATATTAGCGAAACTGATTTCAATCCTGTTGGACATGGAACAATAGTTTCATCAACAGAAAAGCTTTCTGTAAATAGCATCAATAAACAGTCATTAAATAAACAAACATCAGAATGTTTAAATGGAAATTCAGTTTTGTCCGAAGCTCATTATAGAATGCAATCTAGTCCCTGTTCCAGTCCTGAACCTTCAAATGAAAATCATGCTAATGGGAATGAACGTTTAAAGGACTGTAGTGATGATGATAATCTTGAAACACTTGGCCGAAAAGTTAGTGAAATCATTAATGCTAATCGCCTTATTTCTCCTATAGATAATGGAAATTGTGATGATGTCATACAACATAGGTAAGATCTTTAATACTATGACATATAGCAAAAATAATTGTATAAGTAATAATTAATAATTAATTTCAGGGGTAAAGAGGAATCTGTAAAATTATCTGGTCATTTTTGTGGAATTATTAACGGTACTAATACGCAACAAGAGCAATCGGAAATTAAAACTCGGCCTTGCACTGAGAACATAAATGATTTACGCGATCATGAAGATGATGCATGCGAAGAAAGTTGGTCGGATGAAGAAGGTGAAGATCCGAGCTACACGTATAATTATTCTCTAAGAAGAAGGAGGTATGTATTTTAAATTGTTTCTACCAAAGTTATATTTTAGAAAAAAAATTAAACTATTACATATTTTTACAACTTAATTTTATAGTATTGCGAGAAGACCAATTGGTCCTGGGTATAGATTAAGACGATTTAAACACGCAACAGTACGAATAGAGGGAGTGTTAGCTTCAGACGAAGAAAACACTTCCGAATATTCGCATCCTCCGTCCAGTCAATCATCTACATTAGAAAGTAATCCTGATACGCAAAGAGCACTTCGTAATATTCAATATTCCCATAGGGTGAGCTAAAGTAATTTTTTATCATTTATAAGTACACGTTATTCTGTATAATATACACGTGGAATCAGGACTGCTACACTTAAAATAAATAGAACCATTGTGATAAAAGGATTAGAACATAACTGTATTTTCTTGTACAAACAATTTATGAAATAATTAATTCTTAATCTCCAGTGTTTATAATTGATTACACTACAGATTCTTTTTATCTCCATGGTCCTACTTATTTTAAGTCTTAATTCCACATGTATATAAGTATTCCAAAAAGATTATATAAACTACAAATTCTCCGTCCCAAAACAAATTGAGAAGTCCTGTATTATTTTGTGATCTACAATTTTGTTTCCTTGAAGGTACAAAAACAAAATACTGGAATCATATGTTAACGTAAGAATAGAAAGAGAACGTTTCATAAAGATCCCTTGTCCAATTACGTATGTGCATTACTCATTGACCGGCGTTGTGCGCGATATTTGAAAAATCTCTACAGGGGAAATATAAAAGTCTCATATTTCCTGAGAGTTGTTTTTTTGATAAAATATAAATTTTATAATTAAAAGATTTAACGTTAAATAAATATAGACTGAATATAATATAATAATATTACGACCTACCAACGTGCATGGTACTCTGTGTTAATGCGCATATACATACAATCAGACAAGGACGCGGAAAATTCGTGTACCGTTTTTACAATACTAATATCGCTTTTTCAGCTTGCTCACGCACTCTATTATTTATATTTTCATGTTTATTTTCGAAATATAAGCAATTAAAAATTTAGAACTCACTGTGTATGCAAATGTGTCTCCAGCTGTCAATTTTGCATGCGCCGCAGTCCGACCGTTGAGAGTTTTGACAAGCAACTGAGAGTACGTTGCCCGAGGTTATAGAAGAGCACGTGTAGTGATGCGCGCGCATTCAAATCTTCGATCGCTTATATTTCAAAAATGAAGCGGTAGATTACAAAGTAATAAAAGGACTTTTTTTATTTATTTTGACACGAAGAATCTGCAGTTTTTGCATTACACATTCTTTCCTTGACACCATGTGTAAACACAATAAAGACAAAAAATAAATGTATTAGGAAGTAAATATTTCGAAAAAAAGACCGAGTTAGGGAATATATAATGGAATGACAATTGTTAAGAAAATTCTACAAAATAAGTGCCTGTGGCAATTTGTATAAAAAATGCACGAAACAATAACTAAAAGTTAAATAGAAAAAAAATTTAATCGAATTGTAATGTGCAATATAAAGCAATTAAAGCTTTCAATTGGAAATAGAGTTGTTGGTACATTTTCAATTCAACGAATATTCAGATATATAAATAAAATTAATTACAAATGACACAAGATATTGCTTCAAAATTATTTTATCACAAAAGAAATCATTAAATATTTTTGATGCAATAAAATTACATTTTTACTATTAATCTTACCGCTGATGTAATGTAAAGTACTGTATGTAATCGATTTTATTTTGTTTCTCGATTAACAAATGAAAAATCTAATTTAATGACTACGTTTACAATAAAATTAGCATAAGTTGTATTATAATATGATGAATAATAGTGCAGGTTGTCTGAGTTTCAAACTGAAACTCAACAATAGTGTTGGACTGTATAAGAAAGTCATACTCATTTTTGCAAATTAATAACAATAAGTATTCCAATTATATATGCATAACTAGATGATATAGTTAACTCAGTTGTCCAAAGTACTGTTCTGCATCCATCTATTGTACCTGCTTTGAAACTCAAATTGCCTTAATGACAATTACTATACATTGTAAATATAGACAATATGATATGAACTTAAGAAAAATAGGAATAAGATATTGTATAACATTTTGATGTGCTCATTTGGATGAAATAATTAATAAGACGTACAGAGATGTACTTTCTAATAATCATACATATTGTATCTATTATATTTATGCGAGTAGTTGCATAAATTGTTCCTTCTTGTGCAGTGGCAGCTAAACTGACTAGTTCTATTATTCTTTAATAATAGAAGCGGTACACAAAATTTGTGTTATAAACAATAAAGTTGATTTACAGTAATTGATTTATTCAATTTAATTATAGACCTTATTCACATTGTATGTTTAAATTTTGTAAAAAATAAAATAAAATTTTTTTACACAAGGTATAATATGTTTGTTAATTCACTGTTACTTGGAAAAGATATGGTGTTTTTTTGTTTATTTAACTAAAGAATATTCTACATAAAACTAATAGAACAAGTAACTTTACTTTATGTAAGAGTATATTAACTTATTAAAATAGATATAATAAATAATTGCACAGCCTATTGTTGACAATAAAACATACATATCATAATGCATAAAATAAAACACACTAATAAAAAGAAGTTACAATGTATATAGTAGGAAAATACTTCATTTATACCTATGATCAAAAATTCAAAGTCAGGCGCTCAATGTCATGTGAAATATTTTTTTTTTATATTAATATTAATGCTAACTCGATGTATGTATAACACAAAATCTCTATTTGAAAAAACCTTATTTACATTTAAGTCCATAATTCTACCATTTATAATATCATAGGAGAGTATGTAAAAGTTTTACAGCTAACATTTCAGCATATTATAATTTTAAAGTATTTTACCGTTTTTCACTTAATTATAAATTTTAATGCATCGTGTATATACAGTTTAATTAACAACTAATTTCAAATAACAAATCAGATCTTCAATATTGTTATTAAATGTAACTATTCTTTTTAATGCATTTTTAATTGGTTAATTCCATTTTTCAAAATGTATAAAATCTCTAGTTATACTTATATTTCCAATAAATGTAGTAATTCATGATTTTTATATTAAAAATAAATATATGCAACTTTAATATTCTAATATCGAAATGAAGACACAAACGAAAAAGTATCCCAATATTACTGTTAAATCAGTGATTAAACTAATTTCAAATATAATAAGAGTACTTTTTCATGAAATTTCAATTTCACACATTGTTCAGATAACAGGGCGAAAAATTATATTTGATATACTATAACTTATAAATTTACCAGTAAAATGAATTATGAAGAAATTCAGCAGTAGATTTATACAAGGACGAAGCACTTTGTCTTAATCCAGTAAATAATGATACAACTCCTTCTTTTTCATCCTCTTGGTCATCTTCTTCAGGCAAGTAATCTGGCATATCATCAGTATCAGCATTATTTCCAGTATGCACCTGCAAGGTATAATATAATCATGTTGTAGAGAAAATATTTAATTTTATTTTAAAAAATGATTATGATCCAAAATGCTTTTACATATGCATGTATAAACACAAGCAAAATAAATATATATATTTACCAACTTAACAAGATATTCCTGATTAAATTTATTTCGTGTCACTAATCTTGCTTCCATATTTTCTGAATTCTTTTGAATAGCTTCTGCAATTTGTTTGGCTGTGACATAACTTAATGTACGCATTGTAACACGTTGATGTTCTACATCAACAACAAGAGAAACTAATCCATTAATTCTTATTAGTATTGCCTCTAACTCTGCTCGGGTTTCCTATTTCATATATCATTCTTATGAAATAATAGACACATGATATTAAGACACAAATATTGTTCATATTTACCGGCAATAAACCTTGCACATGTAACACAATAACATGAGTTTTTAGTTTCTTAGGTTCTATGACTCTTCGACATCTACTGTGCAAGTTATATATTGGGGGCTTCATTCTTTCTATATCGTTCTTTATGGACTGTGCTCGTGCAGATATCTTTGGTTCATCTATATTGTACTTATTTATAACAGCATCTAAAGCTTCACGAACTCCAAAAGTAGAAGTTATGTGTACATAATTATCCACATTTTTTACAAATAATTCCAAGATATCTAAGCCCAAATTAACAATTTCAATATCTGGTACTTCTAAGATATATGCTACATATGACAAAACTGTTTTATCCTAGAATGATCAGGTTATAATAACAACAATAGATGTAACATATAAATTGAAAAAAATGTATATCCTTACCTTTAAAATCGTGTCGTGGTTTGCAAAATCATTAGCCAATTTCTTATATGTTTCAAGGGTAACTTTCAATTCTTTCGGATCTATCGACTCGTCCACGTCCATTATCTAATACCTGAATGTTGACATTAACTTAATCTTATACCAATACGACCAAAATAAGAAGTATCTTGTTTCACTTTTGCGTTAACGTTACATACGGCAATGACCGTTCAAAAGTTACTTTGTCAATGTTATTATTAAGTCAAATAATTTAATTAATATCATTTATGTTTTTAAAAATGCGAAATGCATATTTTGATATTTTGACATTTTGAAGAATGCATTTTAAATTGTTTATTGAATTAAAATTTGTACGTAAAATGAAATTTTAACTTGAACATACTAAATTAGGAATTACTTTCTCCTACAATATTTTTAGATAAAATGTACGTTAAAATATAATGCGATATATTTAAATATATACTTGATATTTGTATATATATGTTTCATATACGATAAATAAAATACGTTTTTAGAAGAATGCAATTTTTAAACGTACGTAAGATTATTCGCTTATTGAATGTATAGATTTTGCATATATGAGCGTAGACGTAAATACATATGTTTACATACGAACTATATGTATATGCATAAATATATATATATACATATAATACACATGTATCTTTTGGAACAGATATATCAGTATTACCCTATGTAGTAATAACAGCAACAGTCATGCTACAACCAGCTGCTGCCAAATTATTTTGATGACGCACATATTGTAGTACAGTAGCGAAACTGGTGTCCGTATGACGTATTAAAATAAGATGGCTGACATTCGTTCTATCAGCTACCAACAGCATAACACCCGTACTACCTTTCTAATGAACTTCTTTCTTATTTAACACGATCAAGAATTTTAAACCTTCATTGGTGTTATCCGAAATTATTGTAGAAAGAGGTCAATGTAGTATACGATATCTAACGAGCATTAAGAGTAATTAGGGAAGCGCATAAAGTAAGGGCATACATCCCACGTATTTTCAAATACACACGTACAGGTGATTGTTCATAAGAAGTGCTAGTGTAAAGTGCATATTGATTGTTAAAACAATGGAATACGTACTGATCAAAGATATACGGCCGGGCCAAAAAAACATTAATGTAGTGTTTATCGTTTTGGAAGTTGGCCATCCTACAATTACCAAAGAAAACCGCGAAGTTCGAACGTTCAAGGTAGCAGACAGTACAGCATGTATGAATGTCTCAATTTGGGATGAACCTGGACAACTTTTGGTACCAGGTGATATTGTTAGATTAACAAAAGGATATGCATCTGTGTGGAGACAGTGTTTAACACTGTATTCTGGAAAAAATGGTGACATACAAAAAATTGGAGAATTTTGCATGGTGATAAATGAACAGTTAAACATGAGCGAACCAAATCCTGCTTTAGCACAACAAATGATAAATCAGAGCGGTTCTGGTCCACCTGGTAGTAATATTAATAATAACATTACAAATAATGGAAATGCGAATAACATCTCTGGACAATCTGGCAGACAACCATTGGTATATTTTCTATCAAGATTATTCCTCAAATTATCATGTCTGTGATCAGGTTTTAATATATTTGTATTCATTTTGCTATAGGCAATTCAAAGTAATTCAACAACACCTACTAGTGGTACACCTGGTAGTTCTACAACAACAAAAAGTGGAAACAATAATAATGGTAGTAGTGGTGGAAATACTAGCAGTACTTCAGGACTTCCAGGAGGATCTGCAAGATATTCTGGTGACTCAACAACAAAAACAACTGTTACAGCAAAAACTAATTCTCGGGGTCGTGGGGGATATAGAAATGGTGGACGTAGTGACCGTAGATAACACACAAATAAAAAACGGCTAATTATATATGTGTAATAAAAATATGCAACTGATTACATTCAGGACAACTGTAATATACTGTTTTTCTAATAATCCTGTATATGTGTATTCATGAATTAATGTATACGATAAAGTGTATTTAGAACATAACATGAATTGAGGACAATCCAGTTAAGAAGAATAGATTAACATATTATTATTAACATTTAATAATTAAATTTAAACTATATATTAATTTAATACAAATATCTTTTATCAATATTTATATTTAATCTTTTGTATCAATTTAAGTCTGGGGATTGTCTTCAAATCAATATAAGTATCAAAATTTGTCTTAATATGATAAATAATGTAATGTGTAATATAAAGTACTCTGCATTTAACTAGTAAATAATCTTACTTGATAAATTTTTAAAATATATTTTATTAAAAAAACTTTCGTATATGTATGAGTCTAATTTATACTGAGTAAAAATACTTTTTATATTTTATATACAAATACCTCCTACATTATAGAAATTTATTTTTCATATTTAATCTTTTTATTCAGTATAAATTTTGCTTAAATAACTGACTCTATTTGTATACTGTGCTTTTGAGAAAGTTAAACAAATTGAAAAAAACAACAAATGTTCTTTCTATTCTTTCTTTTATATTTTAAATAATAACAATTCATTGTTAATGACTATTAGTTAACTTTGTCTTTATTTAATATTATATAATACACTTTCCTGTAAATGAATTTTTACAAAATTAATGACATTATGAAATGACACAATTTCTAAATGACTATTTAAAACTTTATCATAAATATTTGTCTATTTTCTACAAAACTAATGATATATTTATAATAATTAAAATTCTAAATACAAAATATTAACTGAAATCTGCCCAACTCGCTTATGAAGTTTATCAGACCAATATGATTAAGAACAAAAGAGTTTCCGGGATAAATTATTAGATTGCGATTACATAGGATACCATTTCTGTTTTTCTTATACAATTTTTAGGTTATGTTTATACGTGGATCCACGCTTATATGATATGTCACATCGAAGTAAGTGAGAACGATATGTGTTTTTTATTTATATATAATCTATAATTGTATCCGTCTTTATAACTTTAATGTATTATAATTTTGCAAAATGAATGTAATTATTATATATTTATTATGTTTCGGATATTTTTATTATTAAACATATGATTTGATAACAGATGTATAATACCAAATATAATAATTTATTGCTATTTTTCATGAATCTGGAGAAGTATAAAACGGTACGTTCGATGCATTTATATTTTGTAATTAACAATATTTTACTACTGTATATAATATTCTAGTAATTCATACATGTTTTATTTATAAGTATTGTTATTGTGACAAAATGCAAACAATAGATAAGATAAGCATTATTGATAAAATAGGTCCTTGCTTTATTTATTTTTTAATTCTGCATGGAATAAAAATTGAAACATTATTACTTCTTACTGAAAACAATATATATATAAACTAATATTTTATAACATTAATTTGTATTTACAGATTACTGTGTTTTAAAGTATGACAAGATCACATATAAAGTATGAAATTGCAAAGGATGCAGATGATACAGCAGATTATTTTCTTCAACCTGTACAAGAATTTCCTAATACATCCAAGAAAGAAGTATCTCCTTGGAAAAGACTCTTCCAAATTGCTGTATTAATTGTTACTTACTTTGTGTTATCGGTAGGCCTAACATTTTATGTGCAATGGCTTTACAATTCATATGTAAGTAAGTAATTCTCTAACTTATAGAAATGTCTGTCATTATGGAATTTTATTTTCGATATGTAATAATTTTTTAGGGATTTAATTTTCCTCTTACTGTTGTGATATGTCATTTAACAGTTAAATTTCTTTTATCTTCTTTAATAAGATGTATTAAAACATGTTGGAAAAGGCAACAACAATTAAAACTTTCTCTACAAAGTATATTATGGATGGTTATGCCAGTTGGTGTGGCCAGTGGTCTTGATGTTGGTCTATCAAACTGGGCCATTTCTTTAATTACAATGTCACTGTATGTATAATATATTCTTATTTTACCCCTAAGTTGAATGAAGTAAAGTATTTATTGTTATACATTAACAAGTTATATTTTCACTTAGATATACCATGACAAAATCAACTACCATTATTTTTATTCTGGGATTTGCTCTTATTTTGAAATTAGAAAGAAAGGTAACAACATTGAGTTTTAAACAGTAATAAAATGTTTTGAATATAACATGTATTAAGGGAGCTAATTCTGTTATAGTCTTGGTCATTAATATGCATTGTAGTAATGATATCAGGAGGCTTATTTATGTTCACTTACAAATCAACACAATTTGGCATATTTGGATTTTTGATTTGCCTCTTAGCATCATTCTCAAGTGGTGTTCGATGGACCATGACACAACTTATTATGCAAAAATCTAAACTTGGAATGAAAAGTCCAATTGATATGATGTACTATATGCAACTTTGGATGTTATTACCTATTGTGCCAGTGATGATATGGTTTGAGGGTAAAATCTTTTATATATATCAAATCTGTAATTATACTTTGTTTCAATCAGTTAATTAAGTATCACTAATATGTTTTCTAACATAAACCTTAAGAAGATGAACTATTATTTAGGATCTCGCGTGTACAGTAACTTCAATAACATCGATTGGAATGATGTACACTCTATTATAATTACAACAGTTGCTGTGCTTGGAAGTGCTATTATAGCTTTCCACATGGAAGTCATGGAATTTCTAGTTGTTACATACACTTCTAGTCTTACCCTCTCAATTACTGGCATAATTAAAGTAAGTGAAAATAATAATGCTTATAACATGATATATGACATCACACTAAATAATTTAATTTTGTGGCAATAATGTTTATATATATATGTATTTGTAGGAGATATGTATTTTAATCTTGGCTGTTGAGTGGAAAGGTGATCAGATGAGTGGCCTTAACTTTATAGGGTTGTTGATGTGCCTTGGTGGTATCATAATTCATTCTATTCAGAAAATATTATCAAATAGAAATAAAAAAAGTGAAAATTTGGAATTACAAATGAATTCTTCTTTAAGTATCAACTTAAAGAATGAGGAGGGAATTGAGACAAATTTACCTCTTTTAACTCAAAAATCAACTTCTTTAACGAATCTTTTAAATGCAGAATTTAGTTCGGATGAAGATGATGCGGTTAAACATGGTGAGAATTCTACCCAAATATTGTCTAACATATTGCAACGTAGGGAGCAGTAAATTGTAGACTTGTGATACTGGTGTGCAATAAGACAAGGTTTATTTACTATTAAAAACCATTCCATGTATGACATACATACTGTACTATATACCTATTCTTATGTTTGAATTTAGTCATACAACCTACAATTGCTTTATTTTTTAATGAAATTTCTTACAGTTTTTGGTAATATTTCGTCATATTTTTAAAAATGTAATTTATGCCGGTAAAGTTTATATTAATGTACCAAATTTATTTGTTCTATATAATTTTAGAACATGAACACCTAAATTTGACTTCAATATTTATTTATATATTGTAAACAGATAAACAGTGCATAAAATGAAAGACATACAAATATTTACTATAGTAAAGAGAGTTAAAAGACCATTCCTTTCATAAATGGTAGTCATTAATTATATTTATTTAAACACTTTTTATAAGTTTAACTTATCACTACAAATTTCAGTCTGTATTAGTAATTCTTTGTTTGAAAATGGCATAATAATTATCTTACCGATTAATAGTACTTTTTTCAATTTTGCTATGTTTATAGTATGTTTTTATCTTTTTCAACATTAAGATTCCAATAAACGCACAGTATAATAATAGATAAGTAAGTATTGCATGTAAATTTAATGTTATTAATAATAATTGAAAATTTAATGCAACTTATAACAATTTCTTCAGTCTAAATTTTGGTAAAGTACAATATTATTTTTTTTATGATGAGTATAAATATTCGTAAATGTAAGAAAAAAAATAACTAATTAATAATAATATTGTTTATAAAGAATTTTCGTACAATTTTGTGGTTTTAATAATTATGTGAAATATTATATTTATACATTTTGGAAACGTTCTGTATCGTTACATAAGATTCATTTGATATTATAACACACAAACTCGTTTGTGTATTGTAATAGTAGTAACATATATCAGAAAAATTTGTATGTTCTCATATTGAGAATGTTGATAACTCTAAAATTTATAATAAATTTTGTATATATAAGTATGATATTACTTTATATTTTATTTAATTTTTGGATAACAATTACTATGAATTTCATTTACTATAAGAAATATTCTACATGATTTAATTTTTATTATGCTGTGAACTCTGCTTAAATGTTATATTTGTCAATATAATGTATGATAATCAAGTATAAAGAAATATGTGTATAAATATTGTATTTAAAAGCAATATAAAGTAAAAGCGATTTTCTTTATATTAAAATTAAGTTTTATTAGTAATGCATGGATAGTTCGATTTTTTTTTATATTTTAAATTGATCTGTTTAAAATAATGAAATGAACTTATTTTGTATATACAATTGTATTACTGCGATAAATTGAATAAATATGATGTATACCTAACATAATCTCTATAATTATTTTAATATAGATTAATAAATAATCATTACCTATATAATTTAATAAATAATTTTGTAGGCTTATTACTTTGTCTGTTTGATTTGATTAGTCTTTTTAGATTTGGCTTCAATTCTTTCTTCCAGCTTATGAATTAACTCATCCAATTCATCCTGTTGAAAAAAAAGAATTCATTGTAGATAGAAGTGAAATTATCACCTAAGTACTAATGTACATATGTTTGAAGAACTTACCTCATTATACGTATACATTAAAGTACAATGTTTTAAAGTTTGTTTTTTCTTGTTAAATAATTGCAATGCGTGTGGCAAACAGTAAATACTGTCATCTTGGGAATTGCTAACCAACGAAACAAATAGATTAGCTCTACAAACTTCACATTCAAAATCACCATCATCTTCTTTCACTTTTTTCCCTTTTTTTCGTTTACCACTATCTGGCAGAGGTAATCTTTCTGTATTTAAAAGACCCACCGATACTAACTGTTTTCGAGAACTTATTTCTTTCTCACGAATTTTAATTACACTTGGCAAAATCTGTAAATATTGTTATCAGTAAATAAAAATAATTTATATAAAACATTATGTGTGTTGATACGTACCTGTTTTAACACTTCTATATGAGATCTAGAATCATTAATAATGTTGAATAATAATCTTTCGAACGAGAAAATTGATGGTTCACAACTATCTTGTATGTCCTGAAATAATTATACAATGATCATAAAAATGAGTACTATAAATGTGTGATTAAAGATATAAGAATACTATATATTTACTTTAAATACTTGTTCCGCAGTTTCTAGCCACGATAGTTGTGCAAAGTAAACACTTTCAGAAACCACATAACCAGTACATATGCTTGATGTAAATGCTTTAGGAAATACAATTATAAATTGTCCTGGTTCTTGTACAGTATGACACAATGATACTCCATTACTAACTAACAATTCAGGAGGAACCATTGCTGTGTCTGATGGTAACCATATAGTTTTATTTTTACAGTATCGTGGTACCATTTTTGAAAGAGCTTCTCTGAAATTGTTGTTATGTTCATCTGGTATACCATACCAAATCTTTTTGGCACCAGTGTGTAAATATTCTATCCAGGGAAGACCGTGGGGATCACGATACCAACAGCATGCACTGAATAACATTCCTACATGAAGTGTTGGTACTGTCACACCTGTAAATAAAATTAGAATTATGTAGTAATTTTGTATATAAAAGATATGATATGTTCATCATGAAATTTTTCAAAATACTTCCATACCCATTATTGGACCTAAAGCTCGCAATACTGAACCAGCATTATTAGTGAGTACTTTAAGATTCCATGGATGTCTTGCAAATGGACTATTTTTTGCAACAGAGAATCCAAAACCGCGACCACTTGAATCAATGCTTGCAGCATGTACACATACATGCCGTTTTCGTTCTGCAACATGTTTCCAAAATGCACTTTCAACCTCATCAGCAGAAGCACCTTCAGCTTCATTTCCAGATCGTTGATTTTCACCAAACCACATACGCTGTGTGTTTCGTGCGATACGGTAGAAAGCATTTAATGGCATATTTCTACCCTATAAAATCATGTAACATTATGTTAATTTTCAAATTCAATAAAATTGAAATTTATCTGATTATAATTATTGTAATTCAGAATTCCTACCTTTACAATGCATTCTTCAATTTCATCAGAGCTATCATCTTCTTCATCCTCGTCATTATCTCCTCCAGTACTTGGTGCATTTTGTCTCTGCAAAGCTTTACTTTCTCGTTTTATCCATTCAGATTCAACTTCATCAAATAATTTGCTTCTTTCCTCTAAATACAGATTTTTGATAAATGAGTAGAAAAAGATATATACTATTTTTTGTATATTCGTGAATATATACCTGGGGATAATGTATCATACGGTAATAAATATTTACAATAAATGTCATCTAATTTAGTTACACGATCTTGGGCAGATTTTGGTATCTTCATACCATCAGCTACTTTTTGCCACTTTTTCTTTTCAATGACTTCCTTTAATCCACCTAAGCTTTGAACTGTCTGATATAAATGAGGTAAATCAACTTCCATGCCACCAATCTGTAAAAAAAGGAAAGTAATAAGTATACCAGAAAAAGAAAAGTTAATAAAAAAATGAATAAAAAATTTACCCAAGGCGGATGAGTCAATGTTATACTTTGTGTGGCCAAGTATTTTTTTATAGCCATCATTTCCTTCACATTAGGTCCCCATCTATGAAGCATGCGATGTACATATTGATTATAAGCAGTAAATCTCATGTCATCTGACACTTTACATTCCGGCTGAAATAACAATTATAAATGAAACAGAAATAAAAATGCATTCATATTTCATTTGTATTGATTAACTGTTACATATAATTAACTTTACTTTAAAATTAGGTGGTGGTACAACTCTGCATATTCCAAATTTCTCTGCCACTGGTCTTATTTTATCTATGTATTCTAAAGGATCTTGAAAATCTTTTTCACTAGGATGAAATGTTGGAGCTTCAACTAAACATGCTTCACTGTTTAGATCTTTTGCACTTGGAAATGTTACATTATTAGATGGTGAATAAACTTCAGCATTTTTCTGTTTTGATTTGATTTGACATCTATAATCACAAGCATAAACAGGTGCACATGTATCAAAACAATACTTAATTTTCTAATGTAAAACAATAAAATTATATTTTTACCTTTTTCCATTTTTGTTTGAGTCAATGGAAGTCTTTCTCTCTCTAGAAGTTTTTGGAGATTTTGTTAATTTTTCTGTTCCTGTACTTGATAAAATTCCAGTGTTCTGTTTGCTTACAGTTTGTATTATGTTTTCATTTTTACATGGAGAAGTTGACTGAATTTCAGAAGTAGATGCAGGGATAACCGAAGTAACAGTTGAAGAGGTAGAAGGTGTTGAATGATCTGTAGTTACAAAAGTAGAATTTGGTGGAGTACGAGTTGTGGGTTGAACAGTACCCACGGGAGGACAACGTGCGATAGATGATGGAGGTTTTGTAACTAATTTAGCTCTTAAAAGAACTTTTTGATTAGGTCCATTTGGTCCTTCAGTACCAAGTTTAACAGCTACACCTTGAATTAATTGTTGCCCTTGAACTAAATTTGGTCCATTTCTTGTAACTGCTTGTAATGGTATATAAAATAGTTGACCATCATTTTCATCATCATTTTCGTTATTACTCTCAGTTTGTGTAGATATTTCTGTACTTTTATGTTGGTTTGAATCTCCTTCTCCTGTTTGTTCTTGTGTTTGTGCATTATCATCAAGATTTACTTGCACAGCAATTGATGCACTACAATTTACATTGCTCCATGTTGTAGTTAACTTATCCAATGGTAGTACTTGTATATTAGCTAAAGTTGCAAAATTTTTGGGTAATTCAAATTTATTTATATTCAGTGTAGTATTTGATGTATTTTTTGTTTCAACTGTTTCACATTCTTTTTGTGAAGAGATATTATTGGAGGTCTCTTTTGATTCCAATATCTCACTATTATCCATAATCATCTTTTCTACAGTTTTATTTGTATTATTTTCAGATTTATTTGTATCAATTTCAGACTTTTGTTCAGTGTTTTCGGACAAAAGAGTACTTGCATTTGATTTGGTCGATTCACGAATTTTACGTCTAAATGGAGTATTAACTGGAATTTCAGTATCACTTTCAAATGCATAAACACTACTTTCATTTTCTGGAGAAAATGCATTTGCATTAGGAATGACTGTTTTGCGTTCTTTAACTTTTGGTAAAAATGGTTTTCTTGGCTGAAATATGGTCTTCTTCTCACTTGACAATTTCTTTTCACCAGTTCCATCTGTTACAGTTTGATCAGATTTTAATGTAACATCACTTTCTTCTCCAGCACATAAATCTTTACATAATTTTGCATTTCGTGCTTTACTAACATCTTTCAAATCTACATTACTTTTATTCACAATAGTAGGTTCATTTTCTTGCTTTATTTCACTGGATTTCGTATCTATTATTGTAGTAGATATAAATTTACTTTGTATACTCATACGATCTTTTGCGTTTGCCTTTTCTGCCAACTTTGAAAGTGTAACATTAACTGGTCTTACCAAATGTTGAATCTTTGTTGAAATAGATAAATGCGATACATCAGCCTTTTTCTCACAGATATCATATTTAAAAGTAGATACATTTTCCATCTCCAACTTACTCTCTTCTTTAGCAAATGAACTTTCATTTAACCATTTCTCAATTTGTTCAGTAGACATGTTCACTTTTTCTTTCCTTACATGTAATGTTGATAAAGATATATCTACATCATTTCCAGAAGACATTTCTGGTTTATGGTGACATTCTTTTTCAATATGTTTTATAAATTCTATTTCATTAGATGACTTCAATTTTGTCTTTTGCATTCTTTCAGATTGGGTACACTGATTATTTGCCACATTCGCTACAACAGAAGTTTTGTGTAAGAAAGATTCATTACTTATTAATTCGGTGTTTTCTTCTTTATTAGGTGGATCTGAATTTTTCTCATCTTCTATTTTAGTTGGCTTTGGTGTATCTTCGGTTTTCTCTGCAACTAGGAGATTAGCATTAACGTGGGTTTGACAAGAGTTTAATACTTTAGATATTGTTTTCTTTGTAAATCCGCGAAAAGATTCTTCATCATCTGATACTTTTGAAAGATCCACCTTTATAGAATTCTCATCCAAAGATTGTTCAACCTTATCTGTAACATCACAATTATTGTTGTTGTTATTATTACTAGAAATTTCTTCAGTCTGTGGATGATCATCTTTCTTTCTCTTTATTTTATTAAGCACTGTTCCTAAAGTTTCTTCGTCAGAATCTGCAGTTCCATCTGCATTACTTTGCACCTTTGATTCTTTTTGCTTTATTTCACTACCTTTCTCAGGTAATGACTTAGTAAAATTTTGTTCTCGTTTGCGTTTTATCACAAATTTATCCTTATTAAATCGTACATTAGTTTGAACTTGAGGTTTCGGTTTAATATTTACATTATTTTGAACCTCAATTCGCGTGACTACATTTTTCGTAGAAGATCGAAGAAATCGACTTGCGGGTTTATTTAATTTTCCTAAACTTCGTCTTGTAACAGGCCTTGTATTATTGTTATTATTACTGTTATTATTACTAGTGTCATTAGAAGAACTTACTGAATCTTCGTCGCTATCTATTTCACAATATTTCTGAACCCTTATTAGCCTTTTACTTTTAAAAGCAATTTTACTCACTGTAGTTTTGTCTAATCGTTTTTTCGCTACACTGTGGATAGCAGTAACTTTACCATCCTTAGTTTTAGTAACTGGTTTTGAAGCAGGCTGTTTTACTTTAACTTTAGCTTCATTTTCTGTTTGAGCACTTTTACGTGCATTTGGTAATTCTGGAAAACTATCCATAGATCCATTATCATCATTTTCTAAATCAGGACTTACAAGTTTCCTGCCAAGAATTTCCATATATACTGCAGCTGCTTCTTTTGTCTTTCTTGTTGGTCTCTTATTAAGATTTTTTGGTGAAATTGTCCCAGTATGAGATCGAGTAATTCTTCTTGTTTCAGATTTACTTCTAGTACACATATTTTTTTGAACATTCTTTTGAACTGCACGCTTCATTTGTGATACTGATTTCTCTGAGGGACCTTCCTCTTCATATTCAGATGTAGAGTCTGAATTTGATGTATCACTGTTATTTTGTTTTATGGTAACTTTTTTCTTTGGCTTAGGTGGAACAGATTTAACTTTTGGAGAAGTCTTTTTCATTTTGTCTGCAAGTACACTGCTCCTTAAACCAAGTCTCTTAGTTTCAATTCTTGGAAGAAACTTTCTGGGGGCTAATTGATTTGTGGATTTTAGCATAGTCCTTTCTGTACAAGATCTTGTTCTCATAACACAGGATGCTTTAAATTTATGTTTAATCCTTTCTTTAGCAAGACGTTGTTCCTGATATTTTTTCTTGAGTGCTTGTACAGTAGAAGTAGCACTTTTAAATGTACTAATATTTTTTTGTATTGTACTTGAAACTTTCTTTTTATCATTAACAGCAGGTTTTACTCTGGTAACAGTTTTTTGACTTGTATCTAATTTTTGATTTTCATTAGATGTAGTACTAGAACATACATTCTTATCAACTGATGTACGTAATGGTTTAGGTTCAGACTTTTCTTTCTTGTTTCCAACATTGAAAAAATTTAAACTTGGAGGTAAAATTGATGTTCCTAAATAAAAATATTAATAATTAATTGTTAATTTCAGATTATGATTTACGTAAATATGTTTTTAAAATAATAAATTAAAAACCTCTAAAGCATAGAAATGTTAAGAAATCTTCTGTATTTGGTCGTTTATGTGTTATTAATTCAGTTATAACTGCTGGTTTAGCTTTCTCTTTATCCTTAATTGGAGTATGTGTAGGGTTAAAAACATTTGTTGCTCCTTGTGCAAATTTTCTTTGTGCATGCACTTTAGTTCTACAAAAAGATATTAAATATAATTTCGTATTTCACACATTAAATAAATATTTTCCAAAAGTATTTAAAGAAAATAATAAATTCAAACAAACTTGCATATCTTACAATTGTTATAGCTTAATAAAAATCAAAGTGTCTTAAAAAAATGTTGAATTATATATTTACCTCTTTGGAGATTCTGAAAGTGGTTCCATAAGATCCACTAAATCTCCTTCTTTTCTCTTTCTTTTATCATTTCGACTTAACACCATTTTTCACTTTTATTAAGAAACGTTTCAGTCGATTAATAATAAAAAATTGACATATATATGTTTACTAGCATTTTAATAGGTAAATGTAATATTTACCTAATCACTATCTTCATGTTTATACAAATTGGAAATTAATAAATACCGAAGAACTATTATAAAGAATAAGATATAAGCTTATTTGTAAAGAACAAGCATTTACATAAATATACGAAAAATACCCAAAAAAGAAATACAGAATCTATACAGCATATAAAGTTTAGAGCTATTTAAAAATAAAGCATTTTTCATTCAAGGTAAATAAATAAAAGTTAATAATAAGCACAACGATAAAACATCTGTTCTTCTCACTAAACGAACGATTGTTTATTGTGTCAAGTAAAATTAAATACCACGCTCTGATCTATGGTTTAGATATACATAGATCTGCACTATAAAATTATATTGATTTCTCAAGTCTTGTTCACATTGCACGCACTGCGCTGCGTTACACATAACACACTTTACTATATATATGAATATTATTTCGCGAAAGAACCGTAACAATTTCGCGCATCTCGACTGCTTTCAGAACATTCTATATTATCAGTGTGATGTCAATCTACAGGCGGCTTCTCTCTTTGCGGCCATATATACGGTGAACAAAAATTTATGAGAAGTAGGAAGAAGCGGTGTTGTTGGAAAGTATACTAAATATGAAATCACTGGATATACATGCTCAACACTCTCTTGTTGCTATATAAAACATATGCGCATTAGCCTTGATTATGTAGCTATTAGATCCAATTGGAGGAGACCTGCGCAACATGAACGAAAACTTATCGTTTGGCACAGCGATTCTCTCATGAAACAAAAAGTATATTGAATGTTTAGCTAATGAATAGATATGTCAAATATTATTTATACAGGAAACAATTTATATATTTTAGAAAACACTTTAGTGTACAACAAATTATAATTATTTTTTTAATTAATTTAAGTAAAAAAAGGAATGTCCTTGAATTTACAAATTTTGAATAATCGATATCAATAGAATGTTCATGAAAATAATGTTACGCCATCTATATACGAATGTGAGAATATTTTACTATCTTTTTCATGTTTACATTTCAAACTATTAAAACTATACGTATGGAATATATATTTAGATATAACTAACACGTCATTTAAATAATTGCGACAAATTTGTTACTTTGATAAGGTAGGCGAAATCATAACATATAATGCACTTAGACAAGTATTAATAAATAATTGTTGGATGCGTCATATTTTAATTAAAAAAAGAAGTAGAATGTCATTGTGACAAAATTTCGTAATCAGTTCATGTACGTACAGTAAAAATGTGTCACTATTAATAAACAATGGTAACTGTTGTATAACTTAGCTTGAACATTAAGTATGTATATATAAGATTTAATTAATTTTCTGTCATTTTTTCAGGCAAATTAGCTTTAATGTTCTTGATGGAATTTATAATCACTTGACATTATTTTTATAATTCATTTTATCAAGACAAATATATATATGTAAATCAATTGATTTATTAGAATTATCTCAGGAATTTAATATCCTTTTATTAGGTTATACTTTAATAAATATAAACTAATTACATTGTACAATTACTTATTTGTCTATAGTTACATAACATATTTAATTATAGATACTGCATTTATAAATAATACGAAAACACAATGAATAAAACTGGGCCACCACCTCCACCCTACGAGCCACCTCCATATGCACCGCCTGGATATTCACAAACAATGGGTGGTGTTCCACCTGCTAGTCCTTTTACACCTGCTGAAACTTGTATGTTCTGTTTGTAATTTATTATTACTTTTAATGTTAAAATATATAGAAATCATTGAACTAATTAAATTAATAAAGTTGGTGTAATAAATAATTGTTATCATTATAGATACAAATGGACCAACTATAGTAACAACGATTGTTGCACTTGGACCAGGATCCACTCATACAATTTGTCCACATTGCCATGCAGAAATTGACACTACAACAAAAACAGAACCTGGCTTGATTGCTTATATATCTGGTGTTGTAATTGCATTAATGGGGTAAATATGATGTTGCTGTTTTTAAATAACAGTATAGTTAGATAGGATAAATGTAAATACATATTAAGAAATTGTTATAAAATCATTCATATTTTATACTTATATTATAGATGCTGGTTGGGATGCTGTTTAATACCTTGTTGCATCGATGAATGTATGGATGTTCATCACAGTTGCCCTAACTGTAAAGCTTATTTAGGACGTTACAGGAGATAAAGCAACATGATATATTGATGCTTATTGCATTTCACTTCAAAGTCGTTTGAAAATTACATTATATTCCAATATATATATATATATTTTTAACTTTTATGCATTGAAACATGTTTCTAATGTTTGAGATATAAACGAGCAGCTTTAAACATTTTCACGTGAAAATTTATAACCAGTACAATGCACAAAGCAAGATTGCACATATTAAAATTTTGGATCACTTTTGTCAAAAGAATTGCTAACTAAAATATATGCTAGATAAATCGAGATATTAAACTGAAAAAGTTCCTAAAAATTAATTTAATATGTTTTAGAACTTTTTCATTTGAAAAAATATAAAATAGTTGAGCTGAATGTACAAACAAGTACAAACGTTATTGTTAATTTTATTTGCAACAAAAGTATTTTTTGCAATATATAGCATTCCTGCTATGTATATAAAAGTTGTATACAATATGACTTCATTTTACTAACATTAATATTAACAGCAATTACTACTTACAAGTATTATTAAAGATCTATTTTTTAAAATGATTAAACTAATGTACTCAATTTGTATTTGTTTTTAGGGAGTTTAATTTAATAAATGTTAACAATATAATGTTAAAAACTACTATTTTTTGGAGATAATATGCACTACTGTTTTCTTATAATGATTATATAAATTTGTATAAATTTTCAAATAAAGATAAATACTTTGTAAAATAAAAAATATTGTAAAATTCACCTCTCAAATAAAGTATAAGTTACCTTTGTTAATGTGTCGGAATATTTGTTATATTTTATAAATAATAATTAATAAATTTTATATTTAACCTTCACCTACCTGAAATATACAAGTATATTTATAACCATAACACAAAGATGATCAAAATTTAGGTACTTTTACATTTGATATTAAATGCTGAAAGGCGTAATTATATTTGAAATAATTCAGTTTTAAACAATTCAAATATATCACATTATTTTACAGTAATATGTACGCTTTCCTAGACAAATATTTCGTTATAAGATATTCTGTGTTCATAAGGTTATGATACTGTTGACAATAAAATAAACTGACATTCAACGTAACTATTGTTCTTATTGAAGCTTGCTCATATGAAATTTTCATATGTATCATAATTCAAAACTTGATTATTATAGTTATTAAGTAGATGAAGCTAAAAATATTCTCAAGGAAATATGAACAAAAATGTATATTAAATACATTTTGCTTTGTATTAGGAGTTAATCTTAATAAACACATAATCAATCACAAGCACAGTAATTTTTAATGTTTTTGTGTATTCTCGACAGTATTTTGTGTACTTAATTTCAGATTTACGTTTATTATAATGTGGCATTATTCAAAATCGTTTTATAATAAAAATGTAACAAGATGGAGCAATCATGCATTTTACAATTATCAAAGAATAAGGCACAGTAATTCAAAGTCTAATTCAGAAACAAATGAAGATGTTGATGATCCACTTCCTAAAGAAGCAAAAGTTGTGATATGTGGAGGTGGAGTTATGGGTGGTGCAGTTGCTTATCATCTTTCACTTATGGGATTGGGACCTCAAACTGTTATTGTAGAAAGTGAAAGGTAAAGTTTGTGCAAAATACATTTAAATATTTTGTTTAATAAAATTTTATTTGACTTTAGATTAGGTGGCGGAACAACATGGCATACTTCAGGATTAGTTGGAGCATTTAAACCAAGTCTGGCGCAAATTAAGTTAGCACAGGATAGCATAGCATTATATAAAGAACTAGAAAAAAAGAACTTATCAACTGGTTGGAAGCAATGTGGTAGCCTTTCTTTAGCGCGTACCAGAGATCGTATGACTGTATTTAGAAGAATGAAAGCACAATCCATGTAGGTCTATAAAATTAACAAAATAATAATAAAATTATATGAATATGAGAATGTAAATTTTGAGTGCAGTATAATAGAATTTTATAAATATTCAGATCATGTAACATTGAATGTGAGTTAATTACTCCAAAGCAAGTACAAGAAATATGTCCAATGCTACGTACAGATGATTTAGCTGGTGGATTATGGATTCCGGGTGATGGTGTAGGAAATCCTTATCAAATTTGTTTAACATTAATAAAAGAAGCAAAAAGAAAAGGTATATTTTGTTTGTTCTAAATATTTCTTTACCATTTAATGTTATTTTTGCTTACAAGATATATTTAAAAGTTATGTTTTCAGGTGTTAAAGTATTTGAAAATTGTAAAGTTACTCGAATTATAACACAAAATGATAGAATTGAAGCTGTAGAAACAACACGTGGTACTATTGAATGTGAACATTTTGTCAATTGTGCCGGATTTTGGGCACGTAATGTAGGAAAACTAAGTGAACCATATGTAAAGGTTGATGTTTTCTCTTATTAACGGTATTGAATATTATTTAAAAGGGTAAATTTTTTAAATAATGTTAAGTTTATATATTTAGGTACCGCTTCATCCTGTAGAACATTACTATTTACATACTAAACCAATTACTGGTTTAGATCCTATGACTCCTGTTATAAGAGATTTGGATGGTTACATTTATTTTCGAGAAAACAATGGACGCTTATTAGCTGGTGGTTTTGAACCAATTGCAAAACCAGTATTTGAGGATGGAACAATACCTGGTTGGATATTGATTTGTATGTGTCACTAACATTTTATATACTGCAATCTAAAAAAAATTTCATTTTAGAAACTACAGAACAAAGATTTTTACCAGAAGATTGGGACCATTTTCATATTTTATTGGAACAAATGCTCCATAGAATTCCGAGTTTAGGAAATGCAATTTTGGAAAAACTGTGTAATGGTCCTGAAGCATTTTCTCCAGATTGTAAATGGATAGTCGGTGAAGCTCCAGAAATTCGTAATTATTACATCGCTGCTGGTATGAAAACGGTAAGTAATGTTAAATTATTATTTAATGATAGAATATATAAGTGTAATTTTTCTACAGGTAGGTATATCAGCAGCTGGTGGAGTTGGTCGAGCTACCGCGGAATTAATAATGCACGGTTCAACGTCTTTAGATATGTATGAGTTAGATGTATCACGTTTTTTGGGCCTTCATAATAATCGCAAATTTCTACGTGATCGAGTAAAAGAAGTTCCTGGTATGCATTACGCGTTACAGTATCCACATAATGAATTTAAAACTGGTAGAAATTTGAGAATGTCACCAATTTATCCAAAACTTCGAGAAACGGGTGCTGTATTTGGCCAAGTAATGGGATACGAGCGACCATCATGGTTTGAATTGAATAAAGATGATGATGGTAAGTTTATTACATTTAAGAAGTATATTATAATATACTCAAAAGCATTTATTATAATTCTTAAATATTAAAGCAAATGAATTCTGTTATATAATTTGCTTTGCTACATAGATTTAGAAATAACTGACGCGTTTCCAACTGGTAAGATTGCATACACAAATACGTTTAGTAAACCACCATGGTTTGAACCAGTTGCGGAAGAATATGCTGCGTGCCGTGAAACAATTGGACTTAGTGACTATTCTTCTTTTACTAAGATTGATTTATGGGTAAGTGATTATGTGTAGTTAATTTTAAAAATTTCTACATCCTGAAATTCTTAAGTTCCTGATCACAATAAATATAAATGTTTCAATTCTAGAGGAGTTCATATTTATATTTTAACAGCGATTTTATTTATAAATACGATTCAAATTCATTTCTATTCAAAATAATGCTGTAACTTATATATTTCTTTAGTCACCTGGAATGGAAGTAGTAGAACTACTACAGTACTTGTGTTCAAATGATGTAGATGTTCCAGTAGGTAGCATTATTCATACAGGTATGCAAAACCATGCTGGAGGCTATGAAAATGATTGCAGTCTAGCACGTATAGCTCCCAATCAGTAAGTTGCATAAATTACTGAAATCATATCCTATAATACACAACAGCACAATTATACTTGAAATATTTTAGCTACATGATGATTGCTCCTACTATACAACAAACTCGCTGCAAACAATGGATTAATCGTCATTTACCTGCAGACGGATCAGTTGCAGTATCTGATGTCACATCAGCTTATACAGCAATTTGTATTATGGGTCCTGCTACTAGACAGTTACTTTCAGAATTAACGGATACTGATTTGAATCCTAAGAATTTTCCGTTCTTTACATTTAAGGTATTCATTGTTGGTATGATTTTATATAATTTTGTTAGTTTTATCAAACATACATTCTTTTAAAAGGAATTAGATGTTGGTCTTGCCAATGGAATACGTACAATGAATCTAACTCATACCGGGGAACTTGGTTACGTTTTATATATTCCAAATGAAGTAAGCATTCTGAATTTGGTAACATAAAATACGTGTGTACATATTTTAACATGATACATAGTGTTGATTTATTATACATTTGTAGTTTGCATTACACGTATATACAAGATTAATAGAGTCTGGGGCGAAATATGGAATAAAACATGCCGGTTATTATGCGACCCGAGCATTACGCGTTGAAAAATTTTACGCATTTTGGGGTCAAGATTTAGATACGTTTACTACTCCGTTAGAATGTGGACGGTCTTGGAGAGTGAAACTTGATGTAAGTTTTTTTTAAAATTTATAAACTGTACATGTTAAATTTAAGTTGACATATTTAAATATTATGCATTTAATAGAAGAACATAAATTTCATCGGAAGAGATGCCCTCTTAAAACAACGCGAAGAAGGCGTAAAACGGAAATACGTGCAATTATTGTTGAATGATCATGATCCGGAGTATGATACATGGTGTTGGGGAAGTGAGCCTATTTTTAGGAATGGAAAATATTGTGGGATGACAACTACTACAGGTTACGGATTCACGTTCAGAAAGCAGGTATGAATTCAGTGCCATCAATTATTGATAGTAATTTACTATGTTAATTACTGCGGCGTAAAAAGTATATAAAAACTCCAGAACGTAAATAATTTCTTCTTTTAAAAAAGTGATTAAACTTAAATTTAGGTTTGTCTTGGATTTATACAAAACTTTGATTCGCAAGGACGACCACAAGAAGTAACAAATGAATACGTACTATCTGGAGACTATGAAGTGGATGTTGCAGGAATAAAATTTCCTGCAAAATGTCACTTGCATAGTCCAAATTTGCCAACTAAATTCCCAGATAAAGAAAGAGATTCTTATCATGCAACGCGAGATCAGCACTCTGCATAACTTCGACAATATCAGTTTTAAAGTGTGTATAAATAATGTATATAGATAGGCCAAGATTTAATAAATTAACTAATAAATGATGATTGTAAAGAATTACGTAAACCACCATTTTAATTAATCAGCTTTATCTTCTTTCATAGCTACAATTCTTAAAAAATTACATCAATGTATACTAATAATTATGTACTATATTACAGATTTCCAAATGCACCATACATTCTGCAAGTACTCCCTAAAATGACTTACATAGCACATTTTTTAATTTTGGTACCGACTCAATATACCACTTACTCATAGTACATTTATATTCAGTTTAACCTACAAAATTTTACTATTATTTCATGAACACCCTTATTATTTTCACTTCTTTCTCTTCATTATGATACGCATTATACCGACATTTGTGCTATAATATTACAATGTCATGGTAACACACTGTTTCAAGTACACTGTTCGAAAGACACGTTTTGTGAGGTTGAATGTTCGTTGCTGTTCTGATCGATGCAACAATCTTTTTTTTATTAAAATATTAACATAATAGTAGTCTCACTTATTCTAGGTCAATTGATACATTTAATGTACTGATTATTCGATATCTATCCACCAAAAGTTAAGCCCAAAGTATAGTACATCTATTCGTACATTAACAACTTTTTACACGCGACCCTTATCATTAATGTTTTTTTTTACTGTACACAAATTGACAATGAAAAATAAAGCGTCCTATCACTCTGGGATCTCCGGTTCCGGAGTGGGCTGTACTTGTTTTTGAACCATACAAGATCGAGCCACTGATTCAAACAATCTGTAACAAAATAAATCATAAGTCAATAATCAATCAAGATAACATCTATTAATTAATAAGCGTATCGACTTACTTTTCGATTTCTGGTGCACAGTGAACAAACTCGTGCGTCCAGAATTTGTATGTTGGATTTTTTATAAGTTCAATGAAAGTTATTAAAAGGCCCCACGGATGAGGTCTATTCACAATAAGTCTTTCAAGAAGAACTCTTGTTATTTGTTCTTGTATCGCTTCGGTGTTGGCTTCCGCGAATAAGTACAGAAGGGTACAACTGAAGTAATGTGTATGGCTGTTAGGATATCGAAGTTGATTCGCGATCGCGTTTAAAAACAAATAACGACCTTCTGTATCGAGATCAACTGCTAAGTTTTGGAATATGTCCATATGCGCAGAATGTGCAATAGTGGACATGTTAGGAGTATGCCCTTTGCTACGAATGAAAGCTATAGCCTGCGTTCCAACGTAGAGTACTAAAGCATTCATTAGCTGAATATTGTAGCGAACACCAGCTTCTTGAGATACTTGCAAATTACTACGTAATTCGGAAAGGAAAGTAACTGGTGCGCGTGCTTTCAAATACGAGTCAAGTTCTTTTTTGAAACCAAGTGGTTGTATCATGGACGCAAAGTTGGTTAATACTCTAGGAGCATGTGCTATTTCTTGCAACATGTCAACCTTTAAATTAGGTGTGAATGGATCAGGTAAGCGCATGTTTCTTGGAAACGCGCTTAAGATGAGGTTTCTCATTTGTATACAATTGGGTGGAATAACGTCACAAAATCCGTAATGGTAATCACAAAGGAATTCAGGAAAATCATGTAACAAGACCAACAATACCCTAAGAGTTCCTTTATACAATAAAGTCACAGGTTTTGCGAGCTCAGCATTTCGAAGATAAGGTGCGAGGTATTTAAACAAGTCAATCAACAATTGCGCGTACATGCCCCAACACTTTTGTTGTGGTGTAATTGCGAGCATGCGTCCAATGAAGACTCTGTGTGAAACTAACTCTAACCAAGCGTAACAAAACCCTGAAGCTTTGGCTGGTCTGAGTATATGCAGAGTATGGCAGAAAGCAGTCAATACTTGGTAATTTACTGCTTCCAGTACAGGTTCAGGGGCGCAAAGCTCTAGGAAGAGCATAATGAAAATTCTATGATAGGGCAACTGTTGAAAATCAGTACCTCGTATGTCGTGATCTTGTAATAATACACCGGCTACGATTCCTAAAACCTTATTCAGTAAATTAATTTTCGTATGAGTATTTGTACTGTCACCAGAATGTTTGACCAAAAGCGCAACCAGACGCACGAAAGCATCCAATGAATGGAAACACTTTGCACGAACAACTGATGGGGCTGCATTGGTTTCAGCTAAAGCACGGTAACACAGATCGACGCACATTTGTGTGCTTAACTTGAAGAATCTCGTTATAAGGTCGTCAGTTTTGAGGATCCCATGAATGTTCATTTGATGAACAAACATTCCAAAAGCTTTCGTAGGATCACGTGCATGTGTTGGACTATGATGCATCGAAACCCATTCACGTAATAGATATTCCGTTTTTTCCATCAATCCGGGTGGGTCATCAAAATCACGAGCCTTTAAAGAAACAAACAATATAAATTGTAAACATATACACGTGTTCTTAAAGCCCCGATTGGTCGAATTTACTTACTCTCACCTGTAGAATTCCAGAATGAATATGTGCTGTAGGTCCTGCAGGTGCTCTGTCTGCTAATACTCCGGGATCATGATTAGCGCGCAATGACTCTATTAGATTTGTTAGTCTGAATAGCAAAATCCTAGAAAATACACAAGTGTTATTTTAATAATCAACAACATAGTTGTTAATAGGCATCAATATACTAATTGATAGTAACCCTTCAGGAGGTGCTCTGTGATGAGCCATTCTAGCTAGTATCTCAATTGTATGGAACAAATCAGATTCGGTAACATGCGTGGTCTGTCTCTCGTCAATTAAATAAAGCTGCACCAATTGCATGGCAAATGCTGTTGCCATTGCATTACCAGAATCTATAGCTTGGGCTAATGCTAAGTCATACTGTGGAAGACTAATTAAATGAGATCTAAAAAGAACATTAAAAATTTACTTATATCTGATTGCTTATGTCATTCAATAACTTCAAAATATATTATGAAAATAAAATACCTAATAAGATAATCAACAGCTTCAAAATTGTATCGAAATTCTTCTCTACATTCTGTTAAACAACGGGTAACATGTTTGTTTGTCCACTGCATGCCATAAGCACGTGGATCTTGAAGACACTTCAGAATACGTAAATGGAGTTCTCTATACCGTAATATAATTTCGGAATCTATCACACCACTTGAAATGGTTGGGCCATCTAATAGTCCTTCTACAGCCTAAAGTAAAACATAAAGAACGTATACTAAAATTATATGTACGTGTGGACAACCGTACTCGTTCACTGATTTATTTGTCCATCACTGGTTTATATCGTACATATATACATATTTGATATTTTACCTTTTTGAGCAACGTCATAGCAGCACCTGCGTCTCTCGATCTTCGTGTAAGAATAATAGATTCCAAAAGACTATGCAGAGCAGCATGTTGTGGGGGAGGTACAGCTGGGCCCATTGCAGCAAGTAATACTTCAACCTCTGCAGCAAGCTTCTCTAACATTGCCCCAACTTCATCATTGCTTACTGCCGCTGCATACGCAGCTACCTGTTGGGCTGTTGCTACTGCAACTGCTGGGTTAGCGGCAAATGCAGTTACAGTAGGTTCCTTCAAATATAAACCATTTTAAATATATATCGTGTATATATACATTAAAAAATATATATTGTATAATACGTACTGTAACAGGTTTTGGCATTAATAAAGCTTGCGTGTCTCGTTCAGATAGTGGTAAAAATCCTGGAATATTTCTTGCAAATTCTTCGTAAACAGCCATTTGTTGAGGCGTCACTCCGCCTACTTTTAACCTAATTTGTTCAGGCATTCTCTCAGCTTGATATTTAGCCAAAGGATCGCAGTATCTTCTCCCTTCCTGACGCGCGATCTTCCGTAGTTCAATTTCGTTCAGTAGACGTTTATCCATTTCAGGAATAGCTTTTTCAATAGCTGTTTTTTGTACAAATGCACAGGCAAGCTCCATATTGTCAGCAGCAACTACATTAGCCGCTTGCTCTGCAAGCTCTTTCTGCTGTGGAGTTGTACCCATCATTGCAGTCAAAAAAGCTTGTTTCAAATTTGTACTAATCGACGCCATAACTTGGTCACGGCAAGTGATCATAGCCATCCCTGCAGTTAAGTTGCGAACCATGTGTCTTGCTGCTGTTCTCATTCGAACTTCTTCTGGGTCTAATGCAAAGTCTTTTCTTACAATTTGTTCGCTAGTGGTTAAAGCGATCTTAATCGAACGATCAACAACGGGATGAATCCACTCTTGAATTGCCCTTTCAACAGCTGGACGCACGAATTGCTTCAAGTGTGGGTGCGTTTGGAATAATGGCAGTTGATTATTGATGGTGATGTGTTGAGAAATATTAGCGATGCCTGTTACAGATATATCCATGTAATTAAACCGTGGTTCTGGTGGACCCGTAGGTAGAGATGGTGTTGTATTCGCTGGAGCTGTCTGTGGGACAATCGCTCCAGTTGTAGTAGAACCAACTAATTCTTCGATAGGACCCTGGGATTGTTGCTGATTATTGTTTGATTCTGACTTTTTATTTGGATGCGATAATTGATACTCCAAAGTTCGCAACTTTTCAGGATCTTTCAAATAAAGTGCAGGTTTTAATTCACCAACGTCGATACTTAAATTTTTGCAGAGTACTTCAATTTCAAATTTTAAATTTAGTTTCAAATCAGGCTCTTGATGTAATTCTGCCAGCACGTTCATAATCGCCATTGTCCACGGATTGGGTGGTCGAAAAACACGACTTTTTGCACAACTTTCGAGCACTTTAGCAACGAATGGAACCACATAAAGGAGCTCCTGTTGTCCTTTATGATATGCTTCGACGAGTAAACTTTTTAAGTCTATGTCAATCTGCAAGATGGGTTTATTTCTACCAAGAGTTAACATTCCTAGCCAATGACCTAAATTTTTGAGGAGAGATCGATCTGAAAAATTTGCTATCCCCTTATCACTCCGTAATAAAACCTTTATATTCCTAAACGTTTCTCTAGTAACCATTTTATTCACTTCAGGTAACTTTAAACAGTCTAGAAAGTTCGAATACAAGGCATGGAAATTTAGTTCTATGCTCGCACGTTTCATTACTAGATATTGTGCCATCCAAGGCCAATATTCTTCCGTAACAATTTCTCGAATTTCATCACACTTTTGTTGCAAATTAAGTTGACTAAGATTGTTAAAGATGAACGCTGTTTTATCCTGTAAAGCTTCTGGAGGCGTTGTAATTTTTTCTTCTTTATCTGTTGCTACTAATAACGTATCAATATTTGTTGCATTAGCAATGGAAGGCTAAAATTAAAATATAAAATTATAAGCAAGGATAAAAAGATACATTAAACAATCACAAAAATGATGTTTTACTTACTCTTGCCGAGAGAGAAGTAGTCGGAGTCGTAGACGACTTCGCTTGAGTGGTACTTGTCGTTATCGTTGTTGTTGTAATGGTTTTATATGGCGTAGTAACAGGTGCCAGCATAGCAGCTAAAGTTTTTGGGAGGACTGGACCTTGGGGTCTTGTGGGAGGCTCCTGCCCCTGTAATCCATATTCTATATACTCAATTAAATGTGGTGGGAACTCACTGAAATGCTGAATTGCCCTGACGTGCTCACAGTATGTTTGGTAGTCTTTTAAACGACTCTTGAAACGATCCAGAGCTGTTATGCCGAAGTAATACATCTTGCTGCCTTCTGGTTTCCTCAGAGCATCCAGAACAAATCTTAGGGCTAATCCAAGGGTCATGTAGCTGTTAACCAATCCCCTTTCAATAATTCCTCCAAATAATTGTGCAGTGATTTGTAACTCTTTGTCGGGATATTGTGGAAAAAATCGATATTCTTCAAATAAATTTCGTAACATACAGTTGAACACTTCTCTCTCCCTTTTACTACCAGAATCTTGAAATTTTTTTAACATATCGAGAACTTCATCAATTGATAAGGTAGGATGTGGCGGATGATTGTATATACGTTGAAAATAGCTGTTCGCTTCATCTTCAATTTCTTTCGAAACATTTTGTGACATATCAGGAAATAAGTTTGACGTTTCAGGTATCCTAGCTTTTTCGATGCCTGTTGGTGGTCCGAGTCTACCCAATCCTCCAATTGTTGTACTACCGGGTAAAACGGATGGTCCTTGTGTACCGACTGGTCCTGAATGTAACTGAGAAGATAATGGCAACATTGGAAATGGACTTGGAGAAGGTCCCATAAGACGAGAAGGAGAACCTGGTGCTGATACTAATGGTCCAAGAGCACCAGGTAAATTGAATGCAGAACTGCTCGGTGGACCAAGACTTGAACCCAAACCCATAGATGCAAGACTTGAACTTAAATTTCCAAGCGGGTCTACTTGTTTCGAAGAAAACAACTATAAAATTTAATAAAATACCTCAGTACATAGTAAACGATAAATTATTTGTAAACAATTACACCAAATTTTATACCTGTCCCCCCAATGTTGCTGGATTAAAAGGTTCCAGGCCCCTATGTCTTAAAACTCCTGGAGGTGGAGGTCTACTCATTGTACTTTTGCTCAACATTAGACTACAATTTTGTACCATTGTCATTATTGCTTCGGAACATTCTTGAGAAACACTCCTTTAAAAGTATTTAAAAAATTAAAAGGTGTTACCAATAGTACAAATTTTTACAATAAAGTAAAACATACCCAGCACACACTTGCAAGCAAGCAAGCATCGTCGTTAGCGTCTCTTGTGGAAGTTGACTCGCTTTCGGAACCGTAATATCTTCCTTTATTCCAGGTCCCATAACTTGAGGACAACGCCTTTGTAGAAATTTTACACAAGCGGTGACAAAAACTTCACCTTGTTCTCTAATCTTATCTGTCAACCATTTCTCTAATTTCAAATACTCTCTTCTCGAAGCCAAGCAGGCTAAGTCAATAACAAATGGATAGGATTGAGCAGTAAGTAAATGTGTTAATGCTTTAAGATCTTGAGCAACATCAAGAATACGAGATAGTCTTGTTTGATCATGATCTCCGCGTATGTACCATTCTGCCATAGCATGCATAATTATAGATTTTATTTTAACTGTATTTCCATGCCATGCATGATGTAGAATAACGGCAGAATTTGGATGATTTCCAAGAAAAATGGGCATTAACGTACTAAGTAACTCTTGTCTTAGTATAGTAACAGGAGCATTAATTTGCAATAGGGCTAATACAAGAACATCAGGGCAGTGCTGAATGGGCCACTTAAATATTTCTTGCACTGGTCCATACAGTCCTCTTTCTGCCATATGCAAAAGTAATTCAACTACGTTTAATGATCTCCAGGTTTGTGCTTCTTTACTGTCACTTTCTGGTGCTGCTTTCAAAACATCAACAGTTACAGAATGATATGGATAGTCGGCAAAACAAAATATATCTGGACATTTTAGAATTTGTTGTACTAAAGAAAATTGTCCTTCTACGTTGTCCCAGTGACGATAAAAAAGTTCTACGGGAAACATATCAGGCGGATATCCTTGATGTTGCAATCCTAATCTTAATCCCGTGATCAACAAATTCAATCCTTGTCTATCTTTGACAACGAATTCTGCATGATCTAACTTAACTATTACTTCATTCCATGATAACGTAGATTGCTGAAATTATAAGTAAATTTAATATTTAATACTAATACAAAATTTTAAACTATCAAATAACAATTGATACTTACAATTTCTTTTAAAGCTTGAATGAAAACCTCAACATTCCATGTAGTGGGTGCAGCACTATCTGCTGACTTTTCTTTGTTTGCATCTTGTGTAGCCCCTGAATTACCCCAAAAAGATTGTAAACCTCCAGCATCATCAAGACTACTACAACTACGTGCCATATGAGCCAAAACTCTTGCAGCACATGCTGGAGATATTTCTCTAGCTCCTAGGCCAGCTAAGGCTGAACGACATTCTTCGATGGTACTAGTAAATCCATATCCTAATTCCATAATCAATTCTACTAGAGAATTTCCATCCTAAAAAGCACAGATATATATGCATGTACATAAATACATTTAAAAATTTGAAATCTTATAGCACAGTTACTACACAGCAATGAATACTACTTGATTATTTTACCATTTGATTAACAGCCATGTTTAACTCAATTTTGGCTTGCGAGGTTTCCCCGTTGTCTGGGTACAGGAGTGGTGCTAGCACCACTGGTACCAGTTCACGGGGAAAGTCGCGCCTTAAATTCTTGAGAAATTTTTCTTTTGCTTCCGATGAAAGGCCAAACTGATTGGCTGAATGCAAAGCCTGAGATAATATTAAATGAAGTACTTCAGGCAATGAATCGTGCAATCCTTCTTCCTGATGTTTATTGCTCGTTTCAGAATTAATATAATTTTTTATTAACTCAGGCAGCTGCTTTTTTACGTGTTCTAGAGCTAATGTACGAATTTCAGTATTCTCAGAATGCAATAATGCAATTGCAAATGCAACTTCTTGTACCAGAGTTAAGCCAAGTACCTTTTTCAAACGTAAAAAAAACTTTGCAGATGGATTCAAAGTCTGAAAAAGTAAAATTAAAATTAATAAAAAGTGTTATAAAGCTATAAAATGTAGGTTTTTAAATATATATATGTACATATATATATATGTATTCACACTAATTTTGATAGCCTTAACCTAAATAAAAAGTAAAATAAACCTTTTGTTGATGAAATGGATGATCTATAGCAAAGCACAGATTAGAAATAAAAGAAGGTTTGCTAAGAAGATTAGTACACTCTTGTTTCAGAAGTTGCACTTGAAAATAATCTTTCGCACTTGATTCTGGTGGCTCTCCCGTTGAAAAGTCAATGTACGACAGCAAAGAGCGCAGCAAATGTCTGTCTGCCTCCAAACCCTTCCACTGCACCAGCTACAATATAACCACAAATTTAAAAATGAACATGTACCATATATAAGATATCTATATAAACTTAAATGTATTGAACACAACTTCTGAAATATTATAACCTTTTAACTATCAAGGATGAAAAAATCAACATAAACATTTTTAAAAAAATTTCAACCAAATAAATTTTCAAGAATTTATTTATTTATTAAGTTTTTAAGACCTTAAACGTCGAAAAAACATGCATTGAGAAATTAACAGAGTTTCATCATTCGAAATGATCCGTTGGAACATATACAAATTACGAGAAGAGGCTAAGTTCAAGATGTCTTTCGTGCCGCGTGAACATCAAATAACAAATAATCTTGCAATAAGTAGAATAATAGATACATAAATCTGAACATAATTTTTCTGATAAGGAGGTTTATCTTAATAAATGAAATCAAATGAAATTGATGATAATATTCATAAAGCATATTGCGCTGTTTCGAGGTCGGCGTGTGATGAACAGAAGTGGTAGGGGAGGGCAATAAGAGATGCAGCAGTACAACAGGTTTTTTTTCTACTTACAACTGATATTTCTTGGCAGCTGTCCCGAAAATTTTTCTTATTTAAATTCGCAACCAAATAACTGATTTGTGACAAAGTAAAAGACAACGAGTCCAGGTTCATAGTTCCATGAATACGACCTCGAAAGCTTCAAACGTGTTTGAAGCTTTCTTCGGTATCCACGAATTGCCTCCCCGGATTCTCTCCTCGTTAAAAGCATGAAAACTACATTGGCACAGTCCTACGACCAACATCGGGATTAATATTTTGAAATACAATTTCAAACCAACGTCATGGCGAGCACAACAAGATAATACTGAAAACGTAACACTACTTCAAGATCACACCATATAACCAGTTACACTCTACTGGTCTCTTTTCCCATCTACTTCGGTAGACTTCTACCTCTACAAGACAGCCGGTTCAATGTTTCTTTGAACTGCCGCTAGAGTGCGTTAATATTCATTCTGAAATCTATCAAATTTTATTTCATTTTATCAATTTCCATTTAATTGCAATAAATAATACATGTATTCAGTTTCTTGGATTTGAAATCATGTATGATTAAGAATAAAGTCAGATTTGCTTGAATTTTCAATAATAAATTGTAGAGCAGACTGACCAACTTTAGCATTATTGTTGGTAATCCACTAGAATATTTTGTACGATATAAATATATATGTATAACATTATTATTTGACTAAATTTAAATTAATATTACGTCGTATCATATGATCTTCTGTACATGCTGATTATTTTCTATCCTGGGAAGACTATACTTATCGTAAGAAATTTTATTCATTCTGCGCATGGCAGCTTGGATTAGCGTCTGTAGGCTTTGTAACTATGAGCGACGCGTTTATCACGTTTTTGATGCCAAACCTGTATATTTAGTGATTAAAATATTTTAATTTCTAAATTAGCAAGTTGTAAATTTCCAAATTCCCAATTTCTTAAGTCTCCTGAATCTCAAGTTTTTAGATTTCTAAATTTGATTATCCATGATCTATAATACGTATATTCGCTTCCCGTAAAGTTTACAGGTTTTTGTTGGAAAACCTACTGAACTTGCTGAGAGTTCGCGAATGAGGATGATCTTTCATTGAACAGAGTATATATCTATTTTATTCCATTGTTGTGCTGTACGTGGCGATCCATGCAAGCACGAAATATATAAACATAATTTGTTATCAATTGTTGTCGTCCAGAAATAAAACAATGAACTTTATAATACATTTGGTATAAAATGTAATTATATAGTAAATCGATAATAAAATTCGGTGGAAGTGAATCCTGAATCTGATTTACTTAAATGCGATTTTTAAATGTATATATGTATGACATAAGCACACCTTGACAATATTTTAATTTGACGTCCGTCAAATCTGTGACAGAAAAATTAGAATACTGTTTTATATTTTACTATAGAATTTAAACTAATAACTACTTGGGTATGTTTAAATTGTCAAAGCATTTAACACTAAGCAACTTTTTAATTCCATGTTTCTCTTTCTTTTTAATTATACGTAACCTATCTTTTTTTATTTTATTTACAGTTCTTTCCTAATTATTGTAAAAAAATGGCCACATCTACTTTAAGACAAGAAATACTGGAAAGGAAAAAAGTAAAGAAGAAAATGAGGTAAAAATTGTTACATATGTTTATTTAATTTTTAACATAAATGCAATATAAAAAGTAATATTTGTAATGCACCTAAGTAATTATATTTTGGTTTAAGCAAGGCACAGATGCAGTTAGCAATAGTTAAAAAGAAACAATGTGATGCTAAAGCTCTTGCAATTGTTGAACAACTCCTAGAACCTAAAATAAATTCTGAATGGCTTTTAGATAATGTAAGTATAATTTCTCATTATAATCTGCATATGACTGAAAGATATTTCTCTCTTATTATAGCTGAAATATATTAATAAAAGTCATATGGAAGATGTAATTGAAGAACGAGGGATAACTAAGTTATGTGGTTATGTATTATGTAATAGCAAATTAACAACCATAATTGATCAACAATATCATATATCAACAAAGAAGAACAAAGTTTATGATGTGACTAGGCGTAAAAATTTTTGTAGTTCACGTTGCTATGGAGCTTGCAATTATCTCTTACAACAAATGCTTACAAGCCCTCTGTGGTTAAGAGATAAGGACGAAATACCAGTGTTCAAAGTATTGCCAGCCAAAGATGAATTAGTAAGAAGTATACCTGGAGATGAAATTCATTTTAATGACATAACTGTAACATTGAATGCTGATAATAAGGAGGAATCAACAGAAGTTAATACAAAATGTGACAATTTGAATGATGCAACTTTTGATGCACATTCAAAAGTTAATGAACACAGAAAATATGATACAGTAGAAGATTCTCAGGCAGCTAGTAAACATGTAGAACTACACAATAGTGAAATGCCAAATGTATTGGAAGAACAGTATTCAAAAAATTCTGATGAAAAATTAGGAGACATAAAGAATTCATCCATTGATTTAAAAGATATAACTGATAGTGTTAAACAACAGACAAATGATGATATTGTTAAAAAAGTTTCTTTCTCAGATAGTAATACTGTGCTAAATTATTCTGAAATTGAAGACCTAGACAATATGAATGATAATGTTACTATAAATGAAAGTCAAAATGAAAATACAAAAAATGATAGTGAACAAAGTAATTTAACTACTACCAAGAAAAATACAGACATTAGTAATAACAATGTTCAAGAAATAGAAAAAAATGAACAAAACCGACATAAACGAAAAAATGTTATTAAAGAGAGGCAGACAAATGAATTTTATAATCTTGCAATGCATATTGAACATAGTGTAAAAGAGTGGATAACAGAGGATACAATTTCTTTATTGTCAGGGGAAGAAGATACTAAGAACCGATTATTGGAGAATATAATAACACATGACAGATTCTTACATTTATGTAAAAAATTAAATAAATTACAATTAGAAGATGAGAAAGAAGACCAGACAGATCTAATGAAAAGTAATTTAAAACCTTTACCGCATTTGTCTGCCCTTGAAGAGGAAGGAAAGAAAATGGAATTAAAAGTAAGCATAATATAACATATAACATAAAATATATAAATAATTACTGGTCTATTATTTTCAGGTACGAGCATTCTACAAAGGCAGTATGATCGTAGAAAATCCTAAAAGTACAGAAAATGTTAAACAGGATAGTGACTTTGCTCCAGTATTACCTTTGATAGACGCACATGCACCGAAGGCACTTCGACGTCGTATATTTTTAGATAAACTTAATAGGATGTAATATTGATTCCAATATTTCTTTAGTACTATGAGTTTGTCTTTGTTGTTAAATAGAATTATTTAATTTCTTTTTCAGATTACCGGATTTATTACGAGCTTTAGCGAGTAATAAATTGCCTCAGTATATTTACAACAGCGAAAAGAGTGCTTTAATTAAGGCCTTAGTTAATACTTTTTCATTATCTGCTACAAATATTATTTTTAAAACTGCAGAATGGACTCTTGTTGGTCTTGTAATTATCAAAATGTAAGTACCATATATTAGTATAAGTTCTGTACTTTAAAAAATATTACTAATATATTTATGCATATTTTTTTAGGCTAAGTATGATAGATCCACAACTAAAATTTTTATTATCAAGTAAACAGGCATCAATGTATATCTCAATGATTTTGATGTCATATAAGTTGGACCCAAATTATTTGGACAGACTAATGATGGAATTGATTAATGACATAAATATATCGAATGTCGATAATATCACAAATACGTGATTAAATTATGTACGTTTTATAATCGTTTTAAGTAAAAAATATGTATTTTCGAGACACATTGGATCTGTGTATGTTTATATTTTATGTAAAGTAAAAGATAAATAAACAAAATAGAAAATACAACTGCTTGTAAGTAAAATTAGTAAATTATATTTTTCAATGCATTTGATATTCAAACAATTGCATCACTTAATTTTTATAGTGAACATGAGGCTGGTGTAGGTACACCAGTCAGAGGAGAAGGTGGACAATCAAGTCCTAATGTGTCCATCTGGGTTGTTGTTGTTAACTGGTCTTCCGTAGAACGACTTCCAATTTTATCACGTAAAGCTTCATAGAGATTATGTACAGCTTCATTATGCTTAAATAATAAACGTTATTATAGATACAATATATTTTATATGCTTCGTTTTATTCATTAAGATGTTACCTGACTAGTTGGTTGAAGAGCTTTCATTAGTGCATGTAAACGAGTCGGTGGTAATTTCGGATGAATATACCAAAGTAGTTTTAACAAATGTCGTGTAACATTGTCTCTGCCTAATCCTGCTAGGAAAAATTCGTCAAATATTACAGTACAGAATGATTCGTTAGAAAATTCATCAGCCATATTCAGGATTAACAGAGATACCTATGAATCATAATATTCAATTTTACATTATATGCAATTCAACAAATATAAAAGATATAAATTATGAGTTTACCAAAGTATGCAAAAAGGGATCTTCAAATGCACGCTGTGCTTGACAATTAGGCAAAGTAGCCAATACTCTCATTAAGCCTCTAGCATCACCTCTTCCTCTTCCTACACCACCACCACCACCTACATGTAATGCATAGTACATAGATAAAACAGCAGCAACTCCTGAAAGTTGTGCGTATGCTTGACAAGCGTCAGGAGGTGGGCCAGAATGTTCTATTATAGCAATTGCACTTTCTCTTTCATCCGGCGGAAGTTTGCAATTTAACTGTCTTATTTGATCATCTACCTAAAGTACAAGTTATTTTTTATGTTAATTTTTAATTACTATGATTATTATCTTTAACGTGTTAATACGTTTAAAGTTACTTATTAAATCATATACCATTAAAGACATGAGCGCTGGTAGAAACTTTGTGACAACTTGACTATCCAATTTCGGCTCCTTAAAATCTTGCGAGTCGATCATTTGCCAGGCAGATAAGCCTAATGCAAGCATTCTTAGTAATAGTACAAGAACTGCATTTTCTCTAGGCAATGCTTCACTGTTTATCAAATGAAGTGCAATTTTTATTGCACTACTAGCAAGAAAGTTCACTGCATATGGGTCGCATAATATCATGCTTAAATCTCCTAATACTTGTTCCTGTCCTCTCTGTATAAAACTGTAGATCATTTCACTTATCTAGTACAGCAAGACATAGTATTATGAAACACGAACAGTTTACTGTATACCTTTATACTATCTAGAAAACCTTGCAATTCACGGGACCTTTTAATGTCAACATTTTTTTCCCTGATACATGCATCAAGACACCAAGTGAATTTATGGCATGGGTCAACAGAGATGATGTCTTGAACCTAAGGATCAAATATTTATGTAATTAATATTATACCAATGTGATTTAATATAATACAATTTAACATAATACAAACTGACCTCTAAATCATGTAAGGCCATTAATAGTTCAGCTCTTAAGGTACAATAATGTATATTTTTTGTACGTAAAAATAGAGTCCTTAAGAATTGTAGTACCATATCATATAATTTTACGCTATGCCCAATCATATGAGCCAGCTTTTGTACTACTTCACCTTGTCTTCTTACCTAAGTATGCAAAATAACATAATTTCATGAAAATTAAAATTCTTATTTTGAAGAAATTCATGCAGTATACCTTGGGGGAAGGCATGAAAAAGAGACTATTTAGATTTCGATGATCAAACAATATTTGTTCTTTTTCAATAATGTATCGACTAAATAATGGAGAGACCTCATCTCCAAATAGGCTCTGGTTATCTTTCCAAATTTGCCGTTTAACTTCTGTATCTGCATCATTATATAATTCTTTTTCACGGACAAGTACTCGTAAATATTTATCTTCTATATGTGGTGTATTTCTTAAAATACACATGACAACAGGTCTCAGTGCTGCAACTCTTACAGCTGGGAAACTTTTGGATAATAATTCTTTTAGTCTTTTATCACCTGATGAACCTTTATCTGCTCTTTCTGTACCAATTTCATTGATTCTTTTTATCAATTTTTCTCTTAGTTCTTCTAACACTGATGCATGAAAATCTAATCTTCTTACACCATGAAGATCAAGCAAAGGCAACATAGGTCTTAAGGATGGCAATAAAATGCCATTTTCCAATTGAAATTCTTCAATTGCTTTTAATGGGTCTGTACAACTTGTCAAAGCATCTCTTAAAAAACCTTGTCCAGGTATTCCAAGGTCATCTAAACCATTTCCAATTTCACAGCTGCCTTTTACAGAATTCATTGTTTCCTTTTATACAATGCTTTTATCTATGAACAATATATACATTTGTATAACACTGCACTTATTTGAAAGTTACCTCATAATTTTTAGATCAAATAGTATAATTTGTTTTTAATTTTATGTGGAATTATTTATTAAGTGAACTTTGTTGATCACTTTGTATAAGAGTTTATGATACCTGAAAATGTCAATGCTTTGATTACATACAGCATTGCAACAAATTTAAAATATTAAATGATTATCCTTACAAGTTTTAACGAATTATCACAATTTTTTCTCTTTATTGTTTATCATTAATTTAGTAATTTATGTATTCTAATATTAATTTCATATTTATTTAATAACCTGTGTATGCAAACTGTCGTAGATATAACCACAAATGTAGCGGTGGAACTAAATAGCTTCTCACAATTAGTGGTTTGCGGAGAAACTGTTTTAATAATTGGCCGCTTGGTGCAGCACTTCAAAGGCTAGTTTACAACAAAAGAATGACACAGAATCGATATATTTAAAAAAATGTTTACAGATTTATGTACTTTTAATTATATTATAACATAATTTCAGTAAAGAAAATTTGAAGGTATAATTATACAAAAAATACATGGAATGTCGTTAACGATACAAGTATTTCGATCGATCGATACTAGTCAATTCGCGAAACAGGAAAATTTGAAATGTCCGACAAGTCCGAAGTAAATCGTTTTAACATTTCCCTGTAAACAATAACCTACAAAACACTAATTTATATAGAATTAGTAAGTAATGTAAAACCTAATAACGTGAAATAAGGCGTGTAATGCTGAAACTTTCGACTTATTTATATATCTTAATTGTTATCCTTTTATTAGTCGCTTCTAACGCCAGGAAAAACAAACATAACTTTATCAACATATCTTCATATTATCAGCCTTGCGAAGGGTTAAATAATTTACAAGACTCTACTGTAAATTTTACGCACGTGTGTCAAGGATTAATGACTACTTTAAACGAAACATATGATTCTTATATAAAATCAGAAAATAATTTGAAAAATGTAGTGAGATATTTAGGCAAATTACAAAAATATCAGGAAAGTAAAGTAAACACAACGTACATCGAAAATGATTCGATTCCAAGTTTTTCAACAATATACTGTTACGCAGATACTTGTAACATGAAATCAACTTTCGCATTTAATAATCTATCGCTAAGAGTAGAAGAAAAGAAATGGAATTTATTCGGTTACAAGTGGAAACGAAGAAGTCTGTGCGCGGTTCACGACGATAAAAAACATTCTCCGTCAACACCGTCTAATGTCCTCCATGTTGCTAAAAGGAAGACGCTAATGGATTACGACGCACCAGTTTTACTGGACGACATCGAGGACTCGAATTCTCTAAAAACGCACGTAAGAGTGAAAAGAAGCAAATCTGACTGGAGTCCACTGTCATCGTCAGCATATCAACAAGAGTATTTAAGAGACCTTGCAAATTCTTTTCCTCGGAACACTTACGAATCGGTGGACGAAAATTCCTACGACGACGACACCTCATTTGACGCGAAACGAGAAATCAAGTCTGAACAGTTTTCTGTACCTACGGACAAAGATGGGCCAACGAAAGTTATCGATACACTGGCGTCTGACGAGAAGGATAATTCAATAGTGTTACCATCTGATGTTAACAAAGTAAAAGTTTCGGTAGACAACGGTGAAACGGGTAATAGAGAGATTGCAGAAGAATCAGATTCGTTTACAAATCGACGAAATGACGAAAATATGGAAATTGATCTACCGGATCCTATGATGGCGGTCGATTTAGTGAGAAAGAAACGGAACAATGTGATGGAAAGGTCCGAGTCTCAAAATTCGAATGAAAATGAAAATCGAAGGTTGTCGAGTTTAGTTGCCGCCAATTTGAAGGCACACTTACTGCGAGTGAGGAGAAGGGCAAAGAACAATCACGATAGTTCAAAGACGAAGAAGAAGAAGAAGCATGCGGGAAAGAAACAGGGTAAAAATTCACGACGGTCGTTAGGGAACGAACGTACGAAGAATGCGAATAAATTGAGAACACCTCGCGAGAGAAAACCGAATGCAGCAAAAAGCGAGGGTAAATCAAATGTAGGGATTACTAAGGTAGTTTCTAAGGAAAATAATGAGAACAATTTTCATCGTAGATTCGTAGAATCGAAAGACTCGGTCGATAATTCTAAAAACGATCGTTCCTCAAAGCATCTCGTACTGGAAAATAATGCCGATAATTCTGAACCTTCATCGGCGATAATGGTAACTGGAAATGATGATGACATGACGAAATCGGAAGACAACGGAGATACATCATTAACGCAGAATAAGAAGGAACAAACCTTTCTGGAAATGGCAAAATTACGCGAGAAAAGAAACAAGAATACGGAAGGGGGGCATGGATTTTTGAATAAAGAAGACGAGTTAAAGTATTATGAGAATATTCGAGAACCTGAAACGGAGCGTCGATGCAATGCTCGGAATAAAATACAGCGTTCGGTGATGGTCGAAGGGGAAGGTAGAGCAGTTAGATCCATCGAGGAAGTTAAAGAACTTGCCAAGAAATTGGTTACAAAGGTAAAATTTAAGGAAATACCAAATCTAATAGTAGATCAAATGATTTTGATTTTTGATTGAAAATATTGATAAATGCCATTATGCAATATTTTCAATGTCTCTATACCTTAAAATTATTAATAAGAAATTTTTTAACAGGTGAATGAACTGCAAAATTTTATAAACGCCGGAGATCCAAAAGCTAACGACAGAAAAGAGAAGACAGTCGAGACAAGAGCGATCGACGATCTCTGTTCGAACGCTAGTACAGATTACGACGTTTTCAATGAACCGCCTCAAATTGTTCAGAAATGCGTACCAATGGGTGATAAATATTCGTCGAACCCCGCAAAAATTATAGTCGAAAGGAAAATAGGTTCTTCGAAAATTGCGAAAGAAAATAAAAATAGTGGAGAGAAAGGACGTTCTACGATAGAGAAGAAACGATCAATCGTTAGACGAATACCGAAGACGCCGTCGAGTACTTCAAAAACGGTTCGTAGGGAAAATGCAAAACCACGTCGTAAGTGGGGCAGGTGGACTGATTGGAGCAGCTGTAGTGTCACCTGCGGTAAAGGTCGACAAATTCGATGGCGATACTGTTTACGTGACTGCAACTCCGCGGAAACTGAAATGGAAGAGAAAGCTTGCCAATTACCGGCTTGTCCCCCTGGAAAATTTCTTGGCATATTCTAATAACGAGAAGCGTTACTTTAATCATATTTTTAGCGTATACTTACATTGTAATCTTTTTAGGTAAGCTTTGTATTATCATACTGTGTAAGAAAAGTAAAACATGATTAAATGAAAAATTTCGAAGTGCATGTTTTGATGAAAGGATATAAGTACAGTGAAGTCCTGCTATATGAGTATGAGGTTGCTCATACTATTGATAATAGTGTAATGAATTTTAATCGAAAAAATTTATACTAATTAACCATATAGCGAGAGTGCACTGTACAATAGAGGTTGGTTTAAAATCTCTGTGAAGGAGAACAAGAGTTAAATGCAATTATGTAACAAATCGCATGGTGTATATTTTTTTTGTTCGTCTCATTACCAAACACACAATATATTATACAGAATATTTTAAACAAAACTTCATTTCTTTTCTTCTTTGAACGTATTCACAAGTAACGAGTATTCGTTGCTTACAGAAAGTTGCTGTAGCCCAATGATCACGTTATTCAACGAACAGTTTAACTAAGACATGATAATTCGCCCTTTCTTTTTTTTATGTCGCGAAATATTCAGCGATCACGACTCACTAATGTTATAGAAATATTTTGCGATATCACGGTAGTGGTATTCGGTAACGGTCCTTCTTTTTTTCTTTTTTCGCGAATGTACAATTTAGCGGATCACTTTTGCTTTACTTCTGTCTACGTATCCGCTTTGTATCCCTATATTTGTAAAATCTCATATAATACACATCATTTATCCAACAGCATTCTCAGTTTCGTTCGTCCTGTTGCTTACAAATTAGTTTTATTGTATCGATCGTACAAACGTGATGTCTCTCGTGCGTTTCTTTTAAATTTAGATACAAAGTCACCGAAAATTGATCTAAATACAAGAGTCGCGGTGTAATAAATTCAAATTCGTATCAATTTAACTCGGTGGCTCAGCAAAAAGTTCGTGCTTACAACTATTAACGTGTACAGTAGTATATCTACAAAAAACAATACACATTTGTTCTTGTGATTGCGTGTAGACAGAAAACACAGTGACATCGCACGATCGTGAACGTTTTCGACATCGTGCGATGTATAAGCCTTTTTTACCGTTTTCAACTGATAATTTCCATGTTGTGTTTTTTCTTCTTTCTTTTCCGTTTAACGTAAAGACATTCATCGATGTCGCGCGCATGAGTTCATAACCAGTCACAGCACAAAAACTTGAGTCGTACGAAGTATAAAGTTAAAAAAGTGAAACGTACGAGGAGGGGACGACAATGGTAATACTTCGATAAAAAAATAACAATCATTGGCTTTACTAGGTAGGGATCAGGGTGACGCCAATGATTGTCAAATCCTTAAAATTCCCAAATTTATACAATATTGAATTTACAAATTTCCTGAGGTTCAAAATTCCAAATACCTAAATCTCTAAATTTCGAATTCCTAGTAACGCCAATAATAACAATTAACGCGACGCCGAAGAGAACGTGCTATGACCGTTCACCAAAGAACAAGAGATCCCGTCGATGCGATATCTCCAATTAGTGATATCCGGCTTGCCCGTCCAAGGGACCCACTTACATATACAAATTGATCACAATGGTAAACGCATACATACCCACGAATCTTATCCACGCATACGTTAATTCCTTTTAAACACGCTCACACACACTCTTATATAATTGCGTAATGTCTTTTGACCGTTGATACTTATTTGTCTTAGTCTAAAGGACGCGGAAATTCGTCGGTCCCCTGGTCTTCGACAATGTTCAGTTGCACTTTGTCTATCTCGACTGCACTTAAGCGGTACGTGTTTCGTTTATTTAAAATTTGAGCTCGTATTTTTTTACATCGTACATAAATACACGTATCGTGCCTCCTAAAAGAAAAAAACCTATCGTTTCTCTCGTTTGTCTTGCTCCAATACAATAACGTTGTCCCCGTCTTTCTCTTCCAATTAATTTTCTGTTGCATGTACAGACAATTCACACGTGGAAGAACACATTTGCGGCACCTTTTATTCTGTCCCGTGGCTGTCCAATCTAAAACAATCGTCTCGTATGGCAGGAAATAATTCGAATTTGATTCTCGCGGGGATAGAATTTGTTAAAACAATATATTCCTCGATTGTTCGGCATTTGTTTGCGACAATATATTTAACACAGGCTCCTCCTCGCCTCCGGCCATGACTCGAACATCTCGGTCTGGGTCTGAACGCATCTCTCTCAGTCTTTTCTCCACTTTCTTCGTCTGTTCGACACCCAGCCAGCTTGCTGAAAATTGAAATACATTATTTATTTATTTTTCTATTTGATATCAATTTAAAACACTATCGATAGTGTTCAATATTATAATAGATACTTACGTCCCATCGGGATTACGTTCTCCGACAGAGTTCTCGCCACAACTAGTCTCACGTTTGGTACCTTATCCATGGATAGCTTCAATAAAGTAGGCAACATTTCCTTAGAGAATTTGTGCCCACTGATAGCGTTGTTAGCTATCAATTGAGCGCATACGAACGCCAGTGTTTGTCGTCGAGTCCACTTCTTCGCGTACACGCCTAGCGAGAACCTGAGCTCTTGAAACAACGCCGAGACCAGGCGTTCGCTGTCGGATTGGGCGACAATTTGCGTCACCTGTACAGACATTGAAGTAGAATCATTGGACGTATACGCGATAACGTTACACGGTTCTTTACCTAACGTCGCCATTTATGACCTTTTGTTTAATGAATTCGGAAAATGCAAAATCGAGAACCAGCTGAGACTCTTCTCCTTTACAATTACTTTTAATCGAAAGAAGCCAACGATGATCATGCTTCAAGAGAAAATAGCAACGTCAGATGAGAGACACCCTGTTACGTCCAGATTATACACAGAAGATGGCGAACGTGCGAGGTCATACCAAAGAAAGTGCAACGTGCCTCACAGCAGCGACTTTGTCGTTCAGCAGCTCAAGAGACAGGGGCACGATGTATCGTTCAAGTTGCATGGGTGCAAATAAGTTCACAATTTCCAGCAGTTGCGTGGCCAACTCTTTTCGGAACCTCCAGTTCCATTCGTTATCGGTGACGAGGAATTCCTTCAGCTTCGGCAGATATGGGAAACGATCGGTGGGCTTAAGTATCTTCAAAAAGGCCGCTAGGTGTTTAAGAACGCCTATTCTGACCTCATCCACGTCCTGGATGAAACAGTGATAAGCAGGGACGAGATCGCTGGCAGTCAGTTCTTCGCCGAGTATCGTGGCGATTTCGTGAATACTCGAGGCCAGTGTACGTCGAATTTTCCACTGATCGGCGTTTAACAACAACTTGTAGGTTGGCAGTAAATAACACCAGTGCTCTCTACCTAACGTGAGAGCTACGGCGGGAAAACTAAATGCACAATGATGAAGAATGTCTGCTCCTATGTCTGAGTATCGTTCTGGCTCGGCCATCGTTAGGAACATATTGACCAAATGCAAAGGGACTAGCTCTTCTTCGTTCACACGTATCAGTTCTACCTCTGGGAACTTATCTTCGTCTACTACGTCGTCTAACGAAGAGGCTTTGCTACTGGCGGTGTTGGTCATTGGTTTCCAGTTTATGTTATTCTTCGCTGATGATCTTTTCGCAGCTTCGACGAGTTCGTCGTCCAAAGGCAGGTCTGGCGTTATGTAGTAGTATAAAAATGGATTGTACTTCTCCGTGTCATCCGTTGTTTGGTTTTGATTCAACTTCCTTCGTATCTGAAAGAAGAGGATAACTGGTTGTAACTTCTTTAAGAAATAAATGAGAATGGAAAATAATGTAGAAAAAGATTATCTCATACTATTGTGAAAACGTAGTAATATAAATTTTATGATACTTCAAGGCAATGTTATTTACCTTAGATTTGTAAGCTCTCAGAGCAAAAATGTGATCTTCCTGTGACTCGTCCTCGTCCTCCTCGTCATCAGAAGTCGATCTTTGTATTATCACAGACGAATTAAAGTTATCCTTAGTATCAAGATCCTCTTGGTCGAACGAGTGGCGCCGCACCACATATTTCGGAGGGTAGTTGCCTTCGTACGAATACCTTATACTGCACAACATCATCGAATTTTGAATTACGCCGTGACTCGAATAAAACTAGGATTAAGTAGGGACGCAAGAACAGAAACTACAACAAACGAGTCTCGAGTTGGCCAATTTTAGGCATGATAGCGAAAGTACATTGTACCTGAAACGAGTATCTTGTTGGCTGGTAAACACCAGCTCGCCGTGCTGATTATAAGTTATTTCGGTAAACTGTTTCGCGAACGTAGATATAAATGGTCCTAAAATTTGAAAGGCACACATTCGCACCCATTTCGATTCGTCGTCGAGATGCATGGCTAGAAGTTCGGCCAATAGTAATTGACGTTGTTGGAGGGTCATACAGCAAGCAACCGGCATCATAACGTCCACGCTGGCTCTCCGGATGCCCCACGCTTTATCACAGCATAGATCGACGAATACGGGGAACTGTAATCGATCAAGAGATAATTAGGCCATTGTCGATATTTAACGGAGAGAAAGAGGCCAAAAGTACTCACCAATTTTCGAAGAAACGCCTTCCTCCTGACTGCCACGCAAATCTCTCCAAAATGCGACACGCATACTTTTCTAACGTAGATATCCTTGTCCTCGCAGAGGGCTATGTATCTGTCCAGAAAAATCTTTTCTGTCAGCCTTTTGCCAATGAGCGGTGCCATCTTGCTCATGAGCTGCGGATCGACATAGTAGACGATAATAAACACTGTACTGCAGTGATTGCTGATTAAATTATATATAATAACAAAATGTGCGATGAATCGCTTAACACTTTGGGTATGGTAAAAGATTTCAAGAGCCAGATGTAATGATAAAATAAAAAATTAGAGGAGCCAGGAAGCTCGCACGCAAATTACATGTCACTTGATATTTATTCTTAAATAATAATGTTCGATAAGTTATATATGAAGTCAAAAATCGCACCGTTCCGCTCATCAAAGCTGGCTGTGATACGAGTCGAAAGTCACCACATCACAACCACTCTGATGGGAGGAACAGTCGAACACACCTGTAAAACTCGAGATATCGGATCATCGATCGGGCTAGGGATAGTTTCGTACTATCTTCGAGTACCGCGTATTAACGCCCGCATCGTATAAATCAGGAAGAAGGTCATCGGTAATAGGGATTGAACAGAAATGAGTCACTCTATCGTTACGCATAAATACGTTACTCTAAGAAACGTTTATTTTTTCCTAGAACTTCAACAAGTACATAAGCAAATTGTACGACGAAAATTTGACTATGTACTAACGCTAAAACTAGATTATTCGGTGACTATAATTAGCTAACTTTCACGATGGCGTCATACTGAAAGTGTGACTCATAGATATGTTAAGAAGTTTGTAGATAAAGGAAATAAAAGCATTACAGTTTATACCCATTACTTTGTTCGGAAGTAAACTGTACTTGAAACAAACATAAGACGAATCTAACGGTTAAAGATTAACATCAAAGAGTTCAAACTATTTCGTGTCAACTGCGCGTAACTTGCAAGTCTGCAAACAGACCCTGAAGGAAACATTTTGTTCCTTCCTGTTCTCCATTTCTCCTCATGCGACGAAGAAACGAATACAGACTTTAACAGTTGAGAAAAGATCGCGATTCGACGAACGATCGCAACGACGTCCTTCGTAAATCCGTGCAGGATCCGTGAGAGGAAGTCGAGCGACCATGAGAGCGCAAAAGTCGCCACGGACCTTTCCCGAAAGTGGAAACTAAGCGCAAGAACTCGTTATCGCTGTCCGTATCGGGACAGTCGATCGGAAACGTTTTTCTTCGAAACGACGCTGAAGAGCTGGCTCGTCAAGATAGGTGATGGGCAACTGCGCCCACGAGGGGGCAGACCTGGAAATGGTCTATGCGAGCAACGATAGTATGTAGATTCTTGTTACAATAGATGTCGAAGAAAATTTTTCGAATTGGTAATACAGAGGTTGAAAAATTTATCGGATTTCTATCATCGCTGCACAGGCGGTGCACTTCAGTGCTCGTGAGCTCAATGAGCACTTCATCTATTACAGATCAATATCATCAACGTTTATTAAGGACTACTGAAAACAGTGATCGAAAGGTTTATCGACGCTCATCACCGATGAAAACAATTATGGGCCGATGAAAACAACACTGATCGAAAGGTTCATAACAAATGAGCGAAAATAACGAGGATCGAAAGCGGCATAACAATATTGATTTTGAAGAAAAGTTCTTGTTTGGAGAAAGAACACGCGTGTTCTTGATCGACGCGTGGTGTCTTCCGGGAAGCGGTTGGTCGGCGCGGCGCAACGCTCATCAAAGCTGGCTGTGATATGAACGCTCGCATCAGCATATCACAACCACTTTGTGAGCGATACACGAGCGCACGCTTCTGTGGGTCTCTGTATCGAGAACTTTCGTTCGCACGACGTCGCAAAAAACGGCGATCCAAATCGTCAAAAATGGCTGTGATATGAAATCTAGAACAGCAACACGCCACAACCAATTTGACGATTGGATCGCGTTCCTCTCGTTCCCGTTAAAGAAGCCTCTCTTGAAGGAAGAAGGACATCATCCATATCGTATCTCTCGTGTCCACGGGATGATTATTAATTAAGCGGTCACTAAGTGCACCGGAGCAACGTTCTCTCCTCTGACGATCGATTCTGCGGGCCAAGCTCATCAAAATGGCTGTGATATGACTCGAAACATTCCACAACCAATTTGATGTATCGGACCGCAAAAGGTATTTTCATTTCGGCGCTGCATACAACATCGTTCCCCTTCTCTTCGTGTATGTTCCTCTCTTCTGGTTGTCCCTCGATTTCACGGGATATATACCCTTTTTTCTCTTTCTCTCTTCGGTAATTATTTCCGTTGTTCTTCGTCCGTTCGATACGCCGAGGATGGACACAATTTTGCTCATCAAAGCTGGCTGTGATAGTCGATCTCTATGACAAACCAACTTTGATGGTAAAAGCATGTCCCAGCAGCGAGCATCTTCTTCGTCGGAACTTTTCTTCGTGTACAAGGACTGGGGCGAGAGGGGGGAAAAAAATGATGAAGAGTTCTCCAGACCTGGTCGCGTACTCTCTCGACGTCGGAGCAGAACGGACGCCGGATGAAAGACAAGATAGTGAGACGCGATAGCGTGAGAACATCTCACTACCCATGTCTTTCTGACGGAATCCGTTCGAAGGGAACAACACCAGCTTCGAAACGCTTCTGAACGCCAACTTCGATACACATAATATAATCCCTGACCGGCGTACCAAAGTTTCTCGCTAACCGGGAGGAGAAACGACGATCGTTTTCCACGCTTCTTTCGTATTTACCACGCGGACAGGATACAACGCACCACGCGTTACTTGTCCACCCGCGGTTCCTTACATACGTATGCGCTAATTAGAACGACGTCCAATCGACGCGGAGCTACATTCGAGAGGCATTCGACGGTAAACGACGACACGCTTCCTGGAATGTTAACGCTTTAACGGCTGCATGTTTTATCAGATGACTCTTGTTATTTCTAATTTACATTTCTATGGACAATTATCTTTTCGAAGATTCTACGCTAGATACAAGTATCAGTTTTCTAATTATATTTAACATGGTCTATAATAAATACTGGACTCACGATATCTGTTAGTGATAGGACTTTAAATTCTTTGAATAACGATCTTTTAGATGGTAAATGAAAATCATAAACGATTCTCCACATTAACAAAATTAATGTTAAGATTTTTTTTTATAAAACAAAACTTTTTGCTAAAATATTTATGAAGGTATAATAAGCGAAACTTACAGAGATACCCGACTGCAGGAAATCGATCGAAGATCTGCAAAGAACTTCTATCACAGGGCAGATTTTGACTTCGATCGTGGTGCTGTCGAGAAGGCCGTTCTTCATCAGAGTGAGCACCACTGCCTGGGTCGTCATTCGTACCTGAAGAATAAGAAGTTTATCAATGGGATTTCTTACCGAGTTTACTGTATCTCGCTCTTCGAGTGTTCTTTCCCCGATAGATTTATTATCCCACTTATCTCGGAATATTCACCTGGTTCTCTTCATCCCGAAGGTATGTGACAATGATGTTGAGCAGATGATCGTGAAGAACGTCGCCGAAGAGATGAGAAGCCTCCTGGCAGATCGTCGCCACGTGCGGCAGCTGTTCCATCAGGTCCAGTCGAACCTGCGTGTCTGAAAGCAGAAAAAACACCATACCGATCATTTCAGCTCTTCGGAATGGAAAAGGACATTTTTCTGTTCCTAAATTTCAAAATGTAAAAACTGTAGACTTGCAAAACACGTTGATTTCATTTTTTGGGTAATTATTCATTTTGTGGTGTCAACTTTTTGAAGTAGTCTGAGCAGGTTTGGTAAAAATAAAATTATCTGGACAATTTGTGATGAAACTTTCAAAAATTGAAAACTCTTGGGTTAAACATTTTTGTATCAGAAAAATTTTGAAATTTTTTTAAAGTCGAATATCAGAAAATTTTTCAATTAGAGACTCTCTGATTTTGAAAATGTTTAAATGTGAAAAATGTGGGAATAAAATTGAAAATCAGCGAGAGTGAAAATTAAAAACTTGATAATAAAAAATAGAGATGTTTGTAATAAATAAACGAGAGAGGAGTAAAAATATTCTGAACGTAAATGTCCTGACTTTTTCCTTTCTATTGTCTAATTACGTATTAATTCCATGCAACGAGCCTGGTCGATTCGTGGAAGGAGGATAAAAATGACGATGTGTTCTAGGAGGAATCCGATCGTTTCTTTGCAACTCACGATCGGTCGCTAGCCGACAGAAACTATTCGTGCGTCGAAAGCGAGAAAAACAGGAGGGATAGGCAGGGGACCCATTCTTCGACGTTTTCTCGACCTTGGTCGTTTTTATTCTATACCGCCGGGTGGGTAGCCCTTTTCGTGGAAATACCTGAATGAAGAAGGCGTCGCAACCGGCGCCCCTGCTGATTAGGAAAACTCGCACCTTTACAACGGAGTTTCAGAACACGATCATAAAGAACGAGAATTTCCCGTTTGGTCATTAGGGAAACGGCCGTGAACCGACTACGCTCAACTAGAGACAGGTGCACAACAACGATCAAAGTTACGACCCTACCGCGTTCGTTAATTTCCTCGAAACCTTCCGTACATTACACGCAACGATCTTCGAATTTGTTGATCGAATAAAACTGTCGTATTTGAAAATTGATGGCACGATTTATTCAATCTTTGTTAAATGGTATACGATTTAATCTTTGTAATATTGAAATCCATCCTGAGAATCACTGCTGAAATATTCAACGTTTTTATTGCCACATTTCTTATACCACAATTTTTTTTACTGGAAACAGAAAAATATTTTTCAGAGTACTTTTCATTTAGAGTGTAGCAATTTATGTCTACAATTATTGTGTGTAAGTATCTATCATTGTGTGGACATTTATGGATATTTTTATATGCGATGAAGATGAAAAGTGCTTCTATTAAGTACACAAGTTACACTGATAAAGTTAGAGCAGTTAAAGGAGCTTCTTTTGAAAGTATTGAAATATCTAATTTCCAAATAAGTACAAGTTTAGTCATTTTGTGCTACATACTCAACTAGAAAAATATTTACATACCGATACCACGTCAGCTTCGAAAAACAACCACCCTTTGGCCACGATTTCAATTTCCATGTTACTAGTCTTGCAAAGATGTCTGACTTCTTCCTTGATTCTTCCATAATTCTCAATGTTCATTCAACAAAAATATTCAAACACTTAATTGACGGTAAAAGATTTTAAAAAAGGCTCGTAAAACAATCCAACACGAGTTGCTTCGAATTTTTAATTCTTGTAATTAAAGCGAGCAACTTCAGATACTAATAATATTCGCACACTATAACTCGACAATTGAGTAACGGTAGATGGACCTCGAAAAGGCGGGAAAGACCGAGTTCGAGGATCGAAAAATCGAAGGAGATCGAAGAGGAAAGAAGCACCTCACCGACCGAGAGCGTGGGTGAAACTGAAGGGTCGACGATTTGTCGCGGGAAATGCACCTTCCTGGACTTTTTCCAGTCCAGGGTGGGGATAGTCAGGGTAGCTGCCCCACTACCAGAAGGCCCAACCTCGAAAAGGGTAGGAGGTGACCGTGGGGCAACACAGGGTTCTCTTTCCGGTTACTGTGCTCGTCCTTCGTCAGACCCACCATCTGAGCACGTGCTCGCTTTTCCCTCCATTTTCTCGTCTCCCTCGTTTCCTTTTTGCCTGCCACCGCCCTTACGTCCACAAAATTTATACTGATGCAATCATTTTTTCAGAATATTACAAATATGTGTTATTTTGAAAAGATACAAAAATTATGAAATAAAAAATTATGAGAGGTTTCATAAAGGGGCGAGACATGTTACAGGGTTCTGAGACTGGTACATTTGAGTTTTTATGAATTAATAAAGCACATTTAAAGTTTGAATGAGATTGTGATCACTTACTTTATACTACATTCATGCATGAATATAAAAAATATTGTATATGATTTGACTTAAGGGATGTTTCAGCTAAAATTTAAAACATAATCCACATGTAGCTTGAACAAGAAAAATTGTAGCATTCATAAAAATCGAAGGTCCTTAAATATTATTTTACTAAAATAATTGTAAAATTCTGTCCGTTCTAAATTGTAAATACCGATATGCAGAATAATAACTTTTGGGGAAAATCGTATTATCGGTACAGTTTAGCATCTCACTAAGCGTTCCTTTTCTTTCCAACGGGAAAAGAAGCTTGCCCCACCCCTGTTTCCCTTTAGCACAGCCCCTGGTCCATTAATCACGAGCTGGGTCTTATCTCCTTCCTCCGCCTACTCTCCATCCTTGCGCCTTCTGTCCGGGCCGAGATCCCGCCAAAAATATCCCGCTGCGTTCCTTCAGGATTAAGCGTCGCCGATTATTTACCTTGCCGTATTTCGTCTCTTTCTTCTCCCGTTCACATCCTGTCGATCGGTTTTCCTAGGATTCCGCTTCATTGTCCGTTGGTATTCGCAGAGAATCCTTCCTTTTTTCCCGCGTTACGAACCACGTGGCACAAGTTCTTTTGGCGGGAAAGTCTGTACTCTTATATTTCAATAATCGTCAGTTTTTTTTTAATTTACCGATTTTAAGTAGAAATGATTGATGTATTTTATTGATTACTTTGATGAGAGTAGTGAGATCATACACCCCTATAATAAGGAATACATGATAATAGGCTAAAACCTTGATAACAGACTTTTGGCGGGAAAGTCACAATTCAAGTTTCTCCAGATTTAAATAAACGTTTTCTACACAGAAGCGTTTTTGTTTTACGGGTTCTGGGAAGACATACCTAGTTGTATGAGAGCGATTGATCTACGTTATTGATCCAACTGCACGATAACGAGACACACACCCCTAGCTGATAATAGCAGGGTGGTTCGTAGAAAATGCTAGTCAGATCCGCATGAAAACCACCTTCGCGGAACAACAATTGTTCGAACCCTTCCTTTTACGAGAACAATTGGCTTCGTTGCATTCTTATCGGGAGTAACCAGAGAAAGCGTTACCTTGTGTAAAATATTCGGAGCAAGTTCTTTTAAGTTACTCCAGTTAACTTTCAATGTTTAAAAACTAGTAACGTGATTCGACGTGGTTGTCTAAGCTGAGTGACGTTCTCAAGCCGCTTCCAAAAATAAAAAAGGAAGAGGAAACGTCAATGTCACCCAAAACGGTTCCTTCCACATATGGTAAGGAAAAGTCGGAAACAGTAAGACGCAGCAACTGGCGTCCTTCGAAGGAAAAAGGGCGCCATGTCCCCTCTGCTTTCGCTCGTCCAAAAATACGTGAACGCGTGTGTCGCGTGCCCTCGAGTCCTGGGATTTTCGAGAGTCGACGCAGCCACCCTTCGTTGCCAGTTTCGATCGACCCACGGAAAAACACCGATCATGGCACGTGTTACGGCCCAACATGCTCGTACCATGGATCGTCCCCTAAAAATAGCTTTGGACCGGTGTGCGACACGCTCGTTTCGGATCACGCGTATCGTGATGCACCTCTGTTTGACACAGTTGCATCCCTCGAGAGACGCCTGATGGCTTAGGGCACGCTTCCCCCTATAGTTTACTTACAAGATCTGCCTTTTCCTGTCGAATGTCTTCTAAGGGTATTCTTGGCTCTATTGCAACCGATCTGGCGAATTTTTGGGGAGATATTTGTGTTCAAATGCTTGAATACTGGAATATCCATATTCTTATATTTGAGAGATTTTTATATCTCTAAAAGATTAGTCTCAAACTTGCAAATTAGTAGAATCTAATTGAAGTACCAGTTTTTAAATTTCTAAATTCATAGATTTTAAACCTTTAAACATCCAAACTATCAGATCCTCAAATTTCTAAGATCCCACATCTCAAATCTAGTAACATAATAACCTTCAATCTTCTTACTCGAGTACCAACGCACTAAGATGTCTTACCGCGCTCTTCGCAAAATGGCGGCCGTAAGACTCATACCTTCTAGCCTAACTCTTCAATAGAATACACGCAAGTTCACATAGAAGTAGGAATATAGCGCACTGCACAGAGCTCATACTCTTAATTATCCATCTAATTCTACATTTTATACTTTTGTCTCCGTTACAAAGAGAAGCGCACAAGAACGAACTAAGTTTATTTGCAATTCGATTTCTATTGTCCTCGGGGTACGCGTATTAATGGGGCAAGGAAAATAATAAAGGGGACCACACGTAGCACGTTTGTTTCGCGCTGCGAGGTCGTCGAAATATATTTTCGAAGGTCCGCAGAAAAGAAAGGAGCCATTAGTGGGATGAAAACGCAGTGGCGCGTCATTTTCCACGTTTCCTCGAAGCGGCCCAGGTAAAAAGAAAACGTTTTTCGCGGAAGGATCACCGCCAGGCTGTTGCTGCTTTTTGAAAGGTTCTGTCTCTCTTTTTTCCGCGGCAACGTTTCACAGAGAGATACTCATCGACGAAACGTCATGGACGTTCCTTTGAACACGGCACACCAACACGATCCTTCGAAACCACCTTGGTCGGAAACGTCGTCGCTGATCGTTCATCCTATTTGCCTTCCGTGAAAGGATCTCGATTTTTCAAACGACTTGAAACACGGTCACGGTGCAAGCTCCCACGAATATTTTAGAACAATTAAATAAATAAATTCCCGTGGGAACTTTCGGAGCGGGATGTTATAGGGTCACCTACAAATATTTCACTGTAATACTATGTGGGGAATTCATTATTACTTAATTCAATTATTTCAAAATAAATGCATGGTGGAATTCGTGTAATAGTTATTTGACATGGCCGCCAGCAGCGCGGAAAATGGCGGACGTTTCTTGTCTAACTGATAATTTTATCTAAAGATTGCAGAAGTGTTCAGATAACAGTTCCATAGTTTAACTTTGAATATTTGAGATTTTATTACCTAAATCGCTAATTTACCTACTTGGAAGAATAGACTCGTAAAATTCATGTTTTGACCCGATTTGAACACCCCATTACCATATTCGTAAAACAAAAATTGTAAGTATTTGTCAAGAGAATAGACAGAAATAACAAGGTAGCGAAGGGCGTTTATGATGAGCTTATTGAATTCGTCTTGTATTGAAAGTGATTATAGTTTGCTGACTCAGGTTCCCTTAATAATCGGAAAACCTATTTTCGACCCGCTTTTATGTCCCTTTGGAAAAACCTCAGCAGGTTTATGATTTCTTTCTATTTGTTTCAGAGCGTACTCTCGGGTGTCCCAATATAATCGGTATTGATCTTTTGCGGATAAATGTCGGGGTATTCCTGGCATTAAACTTTTATGATTCCATAGATGAATGGTTGTCGTTAACGAACGATATCAAGAGTCTTTACTTTATCCGACCTTTTACATTTACTTTTCGAGTGAGCACGCAAAACGACTGTTAATACGTTTAATTCTTTCTGTGAATTTAATATTCGACTATTAATGTTGCTTACACATTTTGTTGTACCTTTTATAATTATATTTATTTGATTTCGTTATTTAATTTACTTTCGGTAGATGCTGATGTTTATAATATAATAAATAAGTACTTTGTCCCATTTTATCTTTTATCTCCATTTGTTTCATTATCATTTATTTAAAACAGAATGTAATATTTTGAAAGTAATAAATGTATCGTCTTGGGAATTAACAAATTATGCCTTGAAAAGTATCAGTGTTTGAAAGTAAAAAGTGTGTTTCAAATTCTGTTACGAGTGGATGAAAAAGTAAACCGTGCTACGGCGACCCCGTGTAAATACTACGAGCACGGAAACCACCAGGGACTTCCGGTGAGGCACGCGCTGCAACGAAACCGGGGACAATCTTGTCGTCACCTCGTACGGCAACGCATAGGGTCGTCCGTAACCCCGAAACTTGCCTTCATCGTCATTTACCCACCCTCTTCTTCCCGTACGTGTTCTGCCTTCTTTCAAGAGCGCGATCTTCTATTTTTAAGCTTCTCCGATGCATGCGTTTTCGTTCGTGGAAACCGGCCGGAAAAACAAATGGCGAACGAAAAAGGAACTTTCTGGGGAAAGGGCGCGCTGAGCAGTGTGGAAATTAAAATTTTACTATTTCAATTTCAAAGTCATTGAATTTATAAAGTTTTAAATTTGCATCCCTCAGAGTTTCAAGTCCCTGCATCTACAAATTGTCCAGCATTCGTTTCTCAAGGATTTGGAAATATAGAAATACCAATTTTTTAAACTTAGATAATAAACAAATTTGAGAACTTAAAAGAGATCCTGAAATATTTGTGCCAATATTAAGCTACCGTCTGAAAGTTTTTATCGACAGAGTTTCAGCATTCTTAGTTTAATTAAAGGGGTGCTTTAAAGGGTGCAATCTTTCTCAAGCAACGTGGCAACGTACAAATCACAATTTTCCTCGTTGCCGGGAAAGTGTGAAAAATTATCTGTTGCATACCAAAGGTTCCTTTAGCATCTGAAAGTGACATTTTATTCCCATTTTCTGTTTCATAAAAAACGAAGATGTGCAAGATAGCAAGAACGTGCGTTTGAGTAAGCAAAAAAAGAACACAGAAAGAAAATTAGCAAACGAAAAATTGTAGTAAATACTATGCTTAAAATTGCAACGAATGAAGGATTTGGCTCAGAATTATTTCCAATCCTTCCGTATCTTGCACTGAAATAATAGAAAGCTGTATCTAGCGATAGCAACTATTGCAGCTTGCAGCATAATGCAACAGAGCGATTGTGCAGTTTGCAATTATGGGGTGCGCATAAAAGACACTCAACAGGTTACGTGCTTAGACTGTGAATCATTGTAAGTGGATAATTTAACGCTGGAACGAGCGAATCCGTCAGAATGATTCCTACATGTTTTTCTCGAAACATGTTATTTTTCTGAACAAGTACATTATGTACACTACCGTCCATAAGTATCCGGACACCAGCGAAATATGCATTCGCGTTGCATGAAAGTTATTCAAGTATCTGCAACAGTAACTAAAATCGATTTTTTTTTGCGAAGGTCAGAATACTGGAACGTTTTTCGTTTGATAATTCTCGTTTGGAACTCATATCTCGATGGAAAAAAAGCTATAGACGAACTAAACCGAAACTGTCGAGTGCGTAGCGTTACCTCCATTCTTATCTCCATTGAGGGAACCTAAACATCTACCAACAGTTTACAAACACTTGAAACATATCGAAGAACCCTCTGAATACGTTCTGCACCATAGAAATGAAACACAGTAGAAATTAAAATTTTTTTTAGAATCGAAAGCGTTTCATTAGATTCACAAATTTGGACTTTGTACTTCTGGACATGAATTTTACTTTCACACTTTCATTGTATAATTTGTACTTAAAAATTAATTCTATTACGTTATGACACGTCAAAAAAGATAATAATAATTATTACAAATGATATGGTAACTCTAAATACCTTTCGTACAAAGTTCAACTACGTTTTATGTAACGAAACCAAGTGTCCGGATACTTATGGACGGTAGTGTTTATTAATTCATTTTTTAATAATTTTTGTCTCAAAACAGGTGTGTATTTGATGCTTTTGTTCTAGTGTTAAATTTTTTATAACTCGTATTTTAATAGGTTATTCACGTATGTTAAAGATCATTCCTGGACATTGTAAAATAATTTTGAATATTTTAGAAATAATTCAAAATTAGCACAAAGAATTAAAATTGAACAAGAATGCAGTAACTAATTTTCTACATTAATAATATTTAACTTACCAGGGTCCTGAATGATTTGTTGCACCAGTTGCATAATTTCGTTGACGTTGAGTTTCGTTCCATTGTCGGCGGCAGTGCGAAATGTTTCTACTAAAATTCTTCCGATTCTTTGTCTACAACAAAAAATGATAAAAAGAAGGTTAGATGGTGTACATCCACAATTGAAAAATTTTAGATACAATTTTTATCCGAATGAAAAAATTAACATTTTCATGTACATTCATACTGATCATATGCAAAGTTATTCTAAATATTTATTTATCTATACATATAAAAATTCTGTTATTATTTGTACTATAATCAGTTCTGTTATTATTTGTTATAATCAGCGCATTAACAGCGAAGAAAAATTGACATTGTCGCTTCTTCCAAACGTAATAAATCTCGACGCCTATCGCGAGATACGTTCGACAGGGTAAGAAATGAAAGATGTACCGAAGGAAAATTATATTCTCTCGGCGGAATCGTCAAAATGCAAATACCATCGCGGGACGATAATTAACGGCGAACGGAAGAAGTTCGCGGGAGGCGAAGAAGTTTTAACGAGGAACGATGAACTGCGGCGACGAGGCTCGAATCGTTCGCGGCCCCCAACATTCCCTAGATCGGTCAACTTTTCCCTAGGTTAATTTCGCCGAACTTCCGAACAACGGAGGGTAGGAATAAGTTGCCGAAGCGGCCGGACTTCGCCGAATCTTAACGATCGGGTACCACCGTAGGGGCCAATCAGAAACGGTGGTGGGGGCAACCGAAAAGGGAGCGTGCGTCAGTGGTTCTTAGTCGGCCATCGAGGCGGCATCCAACAAAGACCAAACAGGAACAAAAAATACGCACATAATAGAACCGTGCAGACACCAAAATGTGTAACCATGCAATTTCTCTGAAATCGAGAAGCAAATATGAGAATACTTTGACTTACTAATTATTGTTTATTGGAGATTTTTATTTATAAAAGAAATTTTGTTCAAAGTATCAAATGGATGTTACATTTTTTATTAATCATATTGCACGTAATTACTTGTTGTAAGGTATCAGAAAAATGTTATGTACATTTATTTTTAGAGATGTTAAATTATAAATAAACATTGAAACATTTTTAGATTATTTTGTATGTTATATCTGCACGTGACTCAACCTGAATCAGTTATTTTTATTTATTTATTTATTGATGAATAATGTAAGTAAGGACTTAATATGCAAAAGTTGTTTTAGATTAGAACAAAGCGAAAAGATGTAAACTATAAAATCGCAGTAAAAATGACTGCACACACAATACATCAAAGTCATTGAAATCGATAAGCTGGGCGCTATTCCCCATAATTACTAAAAAAGAAAAGGGGTGGTTGAAGAAGACGCGAAGAGATGAAAAAAAAGAGGAAGAAGAAAGGGAGGAATGCAAGAAGATACGAGGATTCGATCCTCTTCGTTTTGCGTTCTGACAAGACTTCCCCCCACTAGGTCGATTAACGAGAGTGGTGGTGGTAGTTGGCCCCCTCCAGACGGTGTTGCGTACGGATGGATACAGAGAGCGTGTGTTGGAGGGGATGTTCGAGGAGAGTGTTGTTGGCATTCGAGAGACGAGTCGAGAACGAGCACGACCCGCGAGCGCGAGAAGGACGGAGGGACTCGGGTCGTGAAGGAGAGGTCGGAGGGGAGACGGGCGAACGGTGGGGGGCAGAAGCGGCACCAACGGATGATCGTTTGCGGTACCCCACCAGAAGTTTACTAGACGATCGTTGGTGGGGGTAGGCC